TTTTATGGTGGGAGGTAGGAGAGCTCTAACTCTATCTTCTTCCAGGTGGAGGGCCAGTTGTGCCACCCTATCCTCACTGAACTGAAACCTGGTCACCTTAATATCACCTTTCTTGATATGGAACTCTCTCTTTCTACCCCACTGAGATATTTGTCTATTTCTGTGCAATACTATATACCCTTGTGATTATAGCCAATTAATACCACATTTAAATCTCTGGTAGTAGGTCAAGGCACCTATGGCCTTTAAAATTTTTTTGTATTCTCGCATTTTTACTCTTATGTATGAGCCTTCAAGAGAAAAAAATACCTATTCGGATTCCGATTGGATTTCTAGCTGTTCTCCTAACAGCTGATTTTCATGTCACACTAAAAATTTTATAAGACATCCTTATCCAAGGTTCATATCTCTTCTTAAATAGGGAATTTACAAAAAGAATTTTGAATTTACTTATTGCGATTTTTAATGGCATTTATCGTTATGTTTTATATTACTCAATCCAGTGCTTCAACTAGAAGTTCAAAACCTAGGGAGGACCATGGTCTCTGCGCTGATTTATTTCCCAACATAAGTAGTTATCTGGGTACTCTGCCAAAAAAGAAAAAAAATTTAAGTTATCTTTAAACTAATTCACCATTCTCACTTGCATTTAGGAAGAAAATATCCTATGTCAACAAAGAACACGGTAAGAGCTTGAGAATGTGATCTCCTTCCGTGGTACATTACATCTAAGGAAATAATCTTTATAGCAAAGGGAACAAACAGATTTGTTTTATGCTTAAAAAAACTAGTTAGGCCCTGGCTGGTGTAGCTCAGTGGATTGAGCACGGGCCTGCGAACCAGACAATTGCGGTTCCATTCCCAGTCAGGGCACATACCGGGTTGCAGGCCAGTTCCCTGCAGGCTAGTTCCCGGCAGGGGACGCACAAAAGGCAACCATACATTGATGTTTCTCTCCCTCTCTCCTTCCCTTCCCCTCTAAAGGTAAATAAATAAAATCTTTAAAAAAAATTTAAAAAAAAACTAGTTAGGTTTCAGTTATTTATTTCAAACCCCCAGTGTAGGAGATAAAGAATCATGTACCACAACTGTTACAGCTTAAATTAACATCATACACTGCACTATCAAATACAGCTCTGAGTGTTGAAATGCGCTTCCTGTTCCTTCCTCCAGAATATTTACTCCACTTCCTTCCTTCTTAGCATCAAAAATATTATGAGTGGTGCTAGAGTATTATAATATAGCACCTGGGCAAGGAATTCAGACAATAAAATTCTAGATCCAGTTGTACTTACCACATACCAGCAGTATGAACTTGATCAAGTCAGTTCACTCTCAGGCCTCAGTCAAATGAGGGCATTGGACTAGACAATCTTTAGAGTACATTCTAACTCTCTGATTCAATTATATCTGTAAGTCTTTTACAATTTACCAGTTGCATCGGATAATATACATAACTCAGAACTAAGTTCAAAGAAAGGATCAGCAGATGTAAGCAATTTTCTTAAAAGCAACTTTCTTTCTCAATTCTTTTAAAATAATTAACCATTTATGTATGTGGGTTACAAAAATGAAAGCTATTTCCCTGATGATAAGTTGCTAATTAGCTTCCATATTCATCACGAACTGACTTATAAATCTGTCATCTGACTTTTGGCATATGGAAAATTGAGCTGTATGTGGTCTGAGAAAGCAGAGGTAGCCATAAAAGGAGTAAGTACCTGGCTGGTGTGGCTCAGTGGACCGAGTGCCAGCTTGTGAACCTAAAGGTTGCCAGTTTGATTCCCAGCAGGGCACATTGCCTGGGTTGCAGGCCAGGTCTCCAGTTGGGGGTGTGTGAGAGGCAACCACACATTAATGTTTCTCTCCCTCTCTTTTCCCCCTCTCTCTAAAAATAAATAAATAAAATTTTTTTAAAAAAAGAGCAAGTAAAGGCCTGCTTTGTATGCCAACAGATTTTCCAAAGCTTTACTAAAGATTAGGTTGAGGGCGATATTGGGAGGAGGAGGAAATGGTAAGCTGGAATTGGGAGAAGGAAAGTAAAGAGAGAGCTATCATGAGCTTTATAATTTACCTGGTAAAAGCCTTGAGGCACAACTGAATTTTGCTCAGGGAAACATTTATAGAGTTTACAGTTGGGGTGGGCAGGTGGGGGGGGTGGTTCAAGAGCACCTGTAATGAGAGTGAGATCACTGACAAAGCAAGAATTCTCACTTTACAAAATGGTTATTGTTTCTGTACTTTCAAAATCTTACTTTAAGATCAAGTTTCTGAAATATAATAAAGTTTAGAACTGGATTGACTACCTGAGAAACTCTGGTGAAAAGGAGATGTTTCCATTAATTATTCACATAATATAACTTCCCACTTTATCAGTTTTGGCTAAACTTGGCTTGAAAATCACTTCTAGGGGTCTGAAGACTTCTGGAGAGAGCACTTTTTTTTTGTCAATTCCTTTGATAATATTGTAATGTGGCTCAGAATCAAGTGTTAATGCATAGGCACTCTGCATCTATAAAAAGTGGTATTTCATACATTTCTGTGAGATTAAAAAACAGTTCCAATTATGATGGATTGTTTTTTTAGTATAAAGCAGGAAGAATGAGAACTAGTTATGCCAATACCGAGAGCCCTCTGTTTCCCTTGCATAAATGATGTGAATAAATTGGGGAGAGGGGAGGATATGTTATTTTCCTTCCACAAAGGAGAGCAAAGTGTCTGAAAGACCCTGATAGAGCACAATCTCCAGTTCGTCCCTAACATTAGAACTACCAATAGCCCTGAGCCCAGATAGTCTGAAATGGCAGAAACAGTTGTGAAGCAGAAGCAGATATGAAAACATCATTTTTAAAATACCCTATTTGTTCCCTACCACCACTATTCATACCTCTTAGAAGTTAGCCCGAAGGAAAACCTACATTTGTATTTGTTGATTTTTTAAATGAATCATTCTGGATGTCTGTAGTAGACTGTTTGCAAAGATAAATGCAATCAGCCCTGACTGGTGCAGCTCAGTGGATTAGGTGTTGCTATTCTGCGAACCAAAAAAAAGTCACCTATTTGATTCCCAGCCAGGGCACATGCCAGGGTTCTGGGCCAGGTCCCTGGCTGGGGGCATGCAAGAGGCATCCGATCTATGGTTGTTTCTCTTACACACTGATATTTCTCTCCCTCTATTTCTCCCTCCCTATGCCTCTTTCTAAAAATAAATAAATATATATTTTTAAAAGATAAATACAATCACCCCTCCCATCCTGTTCACAGGGACCTCTGTGATGTGACTGCAATTCTGTCCATAAAGAAGTGGAGCTGAACAGGGAATACAGTCAGTGATACTGTAATAACTGTATGGTGTCAGGTAGGTGCTAGACTTATTGTAGGGGGTGGGGGGAGATCACCTCATCTGTTATATAAATGCCCAACCATTATGCTGTACACCTGAAACTAATATGATATTGCATGTCAACTATAATTGAAAAGTACTTTTTAATTTAACAAAAGGAAAAGAAGTGGAGCTGAATTCCTACAATCTGGGTTTAGCTGTTTGACTTGCTCCGACCATTGAAGTTACAAGCAGGAACCTCCTTTTAGTTGTGTTGGAGCCACTACACTCTACATAAACACACTTGGCCCGGCCAGCAGCCAGAACCAAGTCAAGCAGCCATCTTAGACCTAGGCCATTTACCAGATAGATGATTGCGGCATATGAGTGCCACCAACAGAAGAATCAATGACAAAAGCCCAGGCCAGATTGCTAACCCACAAAATTGTGGGGGAGTAAATGATTAAGCCAAATGAAACAATGCCAAAGACTCCCCAAATCCCCTGAAATCATATATAAAATTTCATGATTATGAGGCACGTGCACTTTTCTGGAAAAAGGAGATAAGATTCTCAAAGTGGAATAAGAGCCAAATAAAAAATTAAAGAGCTATTTGCCACAACCATGAGTTCTCCGACAAGCTGGCTTTAGCTCTGGCTTGACCCGCACGTAGTGTGACTAGCTCTAGAAAGAAAAGGAAACCTTAGTGATATTTCCCATTGTCCCACTGTCCTCATCTCTTCCACATGTAAGTCTGGTTGAATGAGAGTTTGGAAATTAATTCCCATCTTTTCCTGGATATCCATTAGGGTGTATTGAGGGAGACTAATTTCCAAGTTAAAGCGTGACCAGAAGTTGTGACAGATCAAGGAGGGAAGTCCCTTCCTCCCAAATTAGCCCTACGCTTTCATAGAAAGCTGTCTAAATGCCTGCCATGGCCACACCAAACTGCACTACCTATCCCACTATGGTAATCCTTTGAAATAGACAGCACAAAAATTACTTGCTCCGGGTCATAAGGAAATCACATAAGTACCCTCAGAACTCTGAATACCAAGCTCTTCTCCCAAGAGAAAGGGCGGCACCCTGGACCACCAGGGTCTACAAAGGCTCTCTCAGACCAATCACTCAGGCCAAACCCTCATTTTTGTCGGTGATGACCAAAACAGAAACGCCAGGGACGGGAAATGTGGCCAGGACGATCCACCTCCGTTCAGGGCACCGTTAGAAAGAACCTCAAGGATCACCACAAGCGATACTCAGGAGCGAGACACACCCCGCCCCACCGCGGAGGGGGAAGGGGCGGGGCGGCTGGCCCCAAAGTAAGGAACAGGGTTTTTCCTCTCCCGGAAGCGGGCGTGGGATTACGAAGGACAAAGAGGAGCAGGGGTGGGGAGGGTCACCTGGTCTAAAGAGCTCTTCGAATTGGGAGGCGCCCTTGATTGCCAAGGTCTAGGGAACGAAGCTGCTCCCCCGACTGCCTGGGCTCCCGGCTCCGTTATCCTTTCTTTGAACTCCCGAAAACGCCAGCTGCGGCCCAAACACATCCCGCCTCCAAACCCAGGCCCGCCAGCCCCGGAGAAGCAGAGAAGCGAAGACTGAGCACTGCGCAGTCGGCAGAAGGGCCCGGGAATCGTGGGGCTGGAGGCATTGCCCAGGGTCCCTCATACTCACTCACCAGCTTGGTGGCCCGGTACGGGCCGGGCCCCACGATGCGGTGATCCATGCCCCGCACACCTTGGCTGCTGCGGCCCCAACACTGCTAAACCCCGCAACCCAACCGAGCTGCAGTTTGAATCGCGAGCCTGGGCACTGCTGGCGCTGATTGGGCGGCGCTGCAGCACGTGAGGGGAGCTGCTGGGCGGGGCCACAGGGACTGTAAGCGGGGCGGGGGGCTGTACGGGCGAGGCAGTTGTTTTTTTAGAGTTCAGGTGCGGGAGAAGCCGTGGACCCTTGGCACCCTAGACTAAGTGGGCGGTCGACCCTTGCCCCACCTTAAGCACATTCCAGGGGCGGTTGTGGAGTGACTGTGTGGGGGTGTCTCCGCCACGCCCTGGGGCGAGGGTGGCTGGAGTTCCCTACCCTCTCCTGTCAGCAGACGTACGCTTTCTATGCAAAAAAGTCAATGGAAGTCTCTAACTCAGCCACCGAAACCCGGCTGGACTGAGCAGGCAAATCCGTGTCCACCCTTCGAAGTGTGCCATGAAGCTGGGGGCGCTACCAAGACTGGAGAAGTAGGTACTGAAATGAAGCGAGCAGACAGCATCTACAAGTGGAGAGACATTTAAGAACTAGACAAGAGCACTTAACCACGCTAGTGTTGACAGCGTTGTAAGAAAAATAAAGAGCTGGAAAAGAGCCCCGACTCAGCTTTTCTATTTGCACTTTTGGAAAAGTAGTCTTTCCCTTGAATTTGAGTTCTATATTTTGTATCAGACTGAAATTTTCAGTCCTTCACCATAGGTCTGTGAGTTCTTTTTCACCGCTCAGGATTTTCCCCACCTAGGAATGGGTGGTCTGATGTGCAATTTTTCAAAAGGACAAATGAGGTACCAACTCTATACCTATGACTGAGGTACAAAACTCAAATCCGATCACCTCAGTGAGTTCTCAGAGTAAGACATAAGAAAGAGCTGAGTAAAGAATCAGATACCCACTTTAATCTATCTTTATAACCACCTTCCTCCATTTGCAGGTTTGGGTATGGTTTTATGTGAATTTTAGAAAGCCAAAAAATTTCCTGGGATGATGCATGTATATTTTGTAATCAGAAAAGCATTTAAGGTAATTTTAATTCCAATGAGTGAACCCTTGTCAAAACTTCTTTTGAGGAGGAGGGAATCTCTAAATTCCAAAAAAGAGATTTGCTTGTTCTTGGCAGGAAATACCAAGGCGGCACAAGAGAGAGAAGGAGAAGAGGAGTTTCAGAGCCTTGTCCATCCAGAACCTGACATGGTGGTGGAGCTGGGGACCTGATACAAAACACTGTGTTGTGCTTCCTGAACATTCTCCCAAGAGTCCATCGTAAATCATGGACAAGATAATTCCTTTTACTGGAAACACATCTCTTCAAAATGATCAGGAACCACACAGACAGTCATTGTAAATGTAGTTTACATTGGACTATTAGTATCAGTCTTTCTACATCCCATAAAAATAATTGGAAAATTTCTCCCCCTCTCTGTGCCCTAAAAGTTCAGTGCTTTCCACCTTTGTGGCCTAGCTCCAACCACAATGTTTTTCTTATTGTTCCTTAAACATCCTAAGTTTTGTCCCACCTTGCCACCTTTGGAATGTCCCCTTGCCTGGAACGTCCTTGCCCCAGCGCTTTGCAAGACTGTCTCCATCTCAACATTCAGGCCTTAGTTCAAGTAACGCCATCCTCATCCTACTCATGCATCATTTTATTTCCTTTATACCACTTCTCAGTCTCTAAATTATTTTGGGTTTTTGTGTTCTAGTTATCAAATAAAGGAGTTCCACCTTCTGGGAGTATTTTGAGCAGGGGTTTGTTTTCTGGTTTTTAAAGAGATAAGAGAGCCAGTATTTTGGAGGCAAGAGCCAGGGATATTGGGTGATGCTGAAGTGAGGCTGCACAGCCAACCCGTGTTCTGCATGACTTTTCCGTGTCCCACTGGCCTTTGAGGTAAGAGAAAAGCTTGTTTGTGATGATCTCAGCTGAGCACCTACTCTATTGCACATAAATAAAAGATATTTTCAGCCAGCTTTAATATACATGGAAGTTTCCAGGAATATTATGGTCTGTTTTGTTTAGGAAAAGTTGCTTGCCATGTCAGAAAACCCTATCAGTAATGACAACACAGTTTGTGGTGTTCAAGACACATATCTGTGACATTCTGCATCTATAATGGTTGAACTCCTGGGTATGGTGCTACCGATGCTATGCACTTATTTAGTCCTTACTTGAAAATGTCAAGTATAAAAAATAATAACATTCAGTTAATTATTGTTTGTACTTCTCTTTAACCCAAATTTATTTTTCTAAGAAGATGCAAGTACTTTCCTATTGCATTATACCTTTAGTTGTAGTCATGCTTAGGTATTTATTTATATTTTCAAATAAATATTACTTTATTATAAATTGCATCCTTTTTACTTCACCTTTAAATAAAAGGGTGTTGTATTAATTGTTAATTACGTATAGGTTCATTATCTGAGACTTCCATTTTAGCAGAGAAAAAAGGATATTCATTCTGATACAGTTGCAAACCACTGCTCTGGCCTAGACTATAAACTCAGTGAGACCAAGGGTTTTTTGTTTCCCACTGTACCCCAATTCACAGAGCAATATTTGCTACATAGCAAATAACCAAACAAGAATTTTAAATTAATGATATATATTAATTCTAATGTAAAAATGTCTGTAACTTACTCAAAACTGAAGCGCAAGATAGTTTATCCTGAGTTTTCACACTTGAGCATGCCACAGTCCCCAGTCCTTCCCCACTGGTACCCCAGTATGAGAAGCACAAAACATTGCTAGTTCTTGCCTGACACACTCATGGCTATTGTAACTGAATATTTATGTTCGTTATCTACTAGGAATTTGGAGCCAAATTCATGGCCAATATCAAACAACTATAAAAAATGTAATGGTGAGTTATTTTTCTACCTTTATTTTCTTTTTTTACTGTTGTTGAAGTACAATTGTCTCCATTTTTCTCCCCATCCCTCCCCCTCCACTCATCCCAGCCTCCCACCCTCGATCCTATCCCCTTTGGCTTTGTCTATGTGTCCTTTATACATGTTCCTTGACCACCCTGCCCCTATTTTCCCCCATAAGCCCCCTCCCTACTCTCCTCTGGTTACTCTCGGTTTGTTCTATATTTCAATGTCTCTGGTTGTATTTTGCTTGCTTGTTTGTTTTATTGATTAGGTTCCACTTATAGGTGAGATTGTATGGCATTTGTCCCTCACTGCCTGGCTTATTTCACTTAGCATAATGCTTTCCAGATCCATCCATGCTGTCACCATGGGTAGGAGGTCCTTCTTTCTTTCTGCTGCATAGTATTCCAATTCTACTGCTGGGATTATACTCTAAGAGTCCTAAAACACCAATTCAAAAGAACCTATGCACCCCAATGTTCATAGCAGTACAATTTACAATAACCAAGTGTTGGAAGCAACATAAGTTCCCATCAGTAAATGAGTGGATCAAAAATCTACCTTTATTTTCTTATTCTCTGATATTATATAAATATATCATAAACTGCCTCAGCTCCCTTTTGTAAAGAGGAACTGTTCTTTTTATTTCTTGTAAGAAATAAATTATAATCCTTACTTTTGTAAAGCAGCTTTCTGATTTTTTTCACATTATCTTATTTCATTCTAAGAACTATTTGAATAGGTAAATTATGAATATGCCCTTTTTACTGTTGAGGAAACTAAGCTTCAGTGGATAAGTGACTTGCTTAACTAGAGAGGTTAAGAGTCCCATTAACAAAACTTGGACTAGAACCTAGACCTTCTGCTGTGAAAACCTGGGGAGTTTGGTTTGGCTTGGTTGCTTGATTAGCTGGTTTTTACTACCTCCTTCAGGAACAAAAAAGGATAACTTTCAAATATAAAGTCAAATTTTCATTTTTATTTATGCAAAGACACATTTCAGGAGAGGAGGAAGGAGATAGAAACCTTTCATAAGTCTGTTCAAGTGAGCCTTCCCAGGAATGAGTTCCATAAACATCACACATTTGAAGTCTTTTTCAACCTTCTAATTATGGTTTGGCTTATTTTAGTTTTTGCATTAACTGGGATGGACTGCATACGAAGTATAAATTTAATCCGATTACTACTCCCCCCGCTAAGACTGGTGAATTCTCAGTTATATCTTAATTAAGTTGTGAAAATTCATTTCCACATTCTGATTATAGCAATCTTAATGAATTACTGTGTGTACTCTGCTGTGGCACAGTCCATGTGAGGCCATCAAGCTCCTTATAGCAGCTTTGTTTCAGCCTTAGAACATCTTTATAAGGTCAATAGTAGTACACTGGCAGTTTCACCATCAGCAGCTGACTTATCACTAACATTAGGAAATTCCAAGCTGTGGAGGAAAGAGTGGCATAGACAACCAGTACATTGCGGGTTTGTTGGGTGTACTTCTCAACCACAGCGAGTGGGGAGTGGCTGGGAGTCATGCCTCCACTCCCGGCAGGACTCCCGGCTGCCCCAGTCAGTCCTTCTGTGTCCGAAAGGTCTCCCAGCAGGTTGGATGTGCCGTTTTGAAAGAACGCCTCTGCTGAAACCTGCTTGTTCTGCAACTACGTTCAGCTGTGTTTGCTGGCATTTAAGCCATCAAGACAATCTATTTGCTGATGTTCTTAAAAGTTGTAAAATCCATGACTTGATTTCCACTGTTATTGATCTGTAATGTCACCATTCCATTGGAAAACGCACGCCTGTCTGCCCACAGAGCCTGTAGCAATACCACTCACTAATAGGAGCACCATGTTCTTTGGGGCATGGGTAAAGAAGAAAGCTTAACAACATCTAGAAAATATAAAACCATACTATTTCATTAAAATAATTGAATAATATTTTTATTTCAGTATTTAACAAATCAGTGCCACAAAGAAATACAAGGATTTACCTTCATTTCATTTATTCAACATGCATGAGTACCTACTACCTGACAGGCACTGTTCCTGTCGTCAGAATATAGTAGATAAAACAAAGCCCTTATTTTCAGAAACGGACATCCTAGTAGGGGAGAGGACAACAAGTCAACTACATTTTTAAAAATATATCTATACACCAGGTGGTTATGGAGTGCAAAAGATATTGAACAGAGAATTTCTTGGAGGCAGCAGCACAGAGTCCTGGCAAGCAAGGCCCACAGACCACAAACACACACAGAGGTCTGGGGAGCCCCGCATGGGGCCGTGGTCAGCAACACAAAGCCAGACAGGATGGAAATGAGACTGTGAGGCAAAGCTGCTGGGGAACAAGGAAGGTCTGTGAGCCGGGGTTGGGGCAGGGTATGTGTACGTGTTGGGCTATCTCACGGAGTAACAAAGGCCACAATGGTGGTTGTGTTCGCCTACAACACTGCCACTTGTCTGTTCTTTCAGAGCCAAGTAACTGAAACTGGCTTGGTTATAAAATACAAAGCCATTTTAAGCATTTGTCCTTACTGATGATGATTACTTTATATTTTATTCTTTTGTTTATCTCTGGAACAGATCATCTTTCTTTCAACTTTTTATTGGGTTATAATATATGGAGAGAAAAACGCAGAGATTAGCAGTATAACGTTTGGGCAAGTTTCACACACTGAACACGTCCTTGTAACCAGCACCCAGATCACAAAACAAAAATGACCAGCACTGAGCAGACCTCCTCATGCCACCTCCCGTCTTCGTCCTCCCCAGCCAAGGTTAACAGAAGCAGATCGTGCACTTGTGAGGACGAAAAAGGAAACGAGAAAGAGTGTGCCCCAGACCAACGAGGAAACAGCAGCCAACTCACAAATTACCGGGAATTTAGTCATCTACATTGTAACTCAAAAACCAACTATGAAAGCAAAGGGAGGAAAGGATTTTCTTTAGAGTATAAAACCCCAGCATTTGGTTTCAAGCTTGATTGGGTATACTGTTTATGGATTTTCTCTCTTTCGTTTAAAATTAAAGAGAGGCTTTCTAAACATTCAAACCTGTTCAACTGCATTTTTTAAATCTAATTTTCTCTGTTGCTCCTGGAATTAATAATGGGCAGTGCCTTGATTCCAGCTCCAACAAGAAATCAGGAGGGTGAGTGGCTCACTTTCGAGTTGTCCCCTGCCCATCCTCACACCGGGACCCAGGAGACGCTCAATGGAACCCATATGCAAGGCTGTTCCAGGTCCCCTGACAGTAGCCCCTTTGGGGCGAAGGGGACACCAGAGGAGTGATCACAGAAATGCCAGAATCATGAGACCCCCTCCCAAAGGCAAGCAAGCTATGGCCTAGAAGAGGGGTTCTGCAGGCCCTGCCAGGAAACGTCCTGAAGACCTAGGCAGTATCCTGGAAGAGAACAACTCTTGCCTGTTCTTCTGTACTTGAAGCTGAAGTTACCAGAAGTAGCATTTTAAAGGAATGTTAGATAAAGGCCATGAGGAGAGTTGTCAGGTCTCCAAACTGGGCAAGGAGAAATAAAGAACCCAGGGAGCTGAGAGGAAAGAGGATATGATGAGCTAGGAGGCCGAGGCAGAGCCTGGAGTGGCTACAGAGCTGCAGAGCAAACAGCTAGAACCAAGTGTTGGTCAGAAGCTTTGAGACGGGGACCACAACACCATCTGCTAAGAATTCTTGCCCCCGAAATGCAACCCAAACCTGACCTCACTGTAATGTTTTTAACTACCAGTTTATGAGAAATGTAGAGGTTAGGAGAATATGAGGGGATGCAACCAGAAAACCTGGAATGGGGGAGGTTCCATAAATGACCAGGTGTGTGCAATTGCAAGGAAGACGGAGGGTGGCAGGTGAAGGCAGAACACGAAAGAGATTTAAGAGCCAAATCAGTTAATCACAGTGGGGGGGCATTATTTGGTTCATAATTCAACCAACTATAAAAATAACAAAAACTAAAAATTTTTAAAGCAATTAGAAAATTGGAAGCCAGAACACTAAGTAGATATTTGAAAATAAACAAAAACTGGACCTTAACATTTTAAGCTTGGTAATTGTATTTTAGTCATTTTTTAAAAAGACTCCTTAATGTCCTAGGGCAGTGGTTTTAGAACTTGACATGCCTCAGAGTCACCTGCAGAAGTACTTAAAACAGACTGCTGGACCCTGGCCGGAGTTTCTAATTCTTCAGGACTTCACTGGGGCCTGAGACTCTCCAGGATGATGGGTACATGAAGGTTTATACCACTATTCTGTCTATTTTTGTTACATTTAAAATTTCTATTTTAGAAGGATTTTTCTAGGATAAGAAAAAAGAAATAATAGAAAAAATCACCTGACAATATCCAACTCTCATTCCTGATTAAAAAAATAAAACTTTCAACAAACTGGGGAACAGAAGAAAGCTTCTTCAACCTGATACTAATAAAAATCTATGGCAGTACTCCAGCTCACATCAGCCATAATGGCCAAGACTGAAAATTTTCTCCCCAAGATCAGCAAAAAGACAATGATGTCTTTTCTCTCCATTTCATTTAACATCACACTGGTGGCTCTAACCACTGCAATGAGGCAAGAAAAAGGAATTAAAAAGCATCCAGATTGGAAAGAAAAAGTTAAACTGTCTTTATTTGTAGACAACCAGCATCTATATAGAAAATCCTATGAGGCCTACAAAATTGCTACCAAAACTAATGTAGAAGTTTTACAATACTATGGCCACAGAAAGGGACTGAAGCAGGGTAGGGGCTGGATGGCTGTAGGGGCAGGTTCTCTCTACTTTCTACAGCCCCAAGGAGCTTTTTTGCCCTTCTGAGCCTGCAACCTATCACAACCTGGAGGCCCCAGTTGGGTTGCTTGTCTTCCCTGACTGATGTTGGGAGTGATACTTATTCCTCAGTTAATCATATTTCCACACGGAGAGACTTGCCTTGAAGCAGCCCTTTTCAAACTTGTCTGCACACTGGAACCACTTGGGGAGCTTCCAAAACTACTGACGCCTGGCTTCCACCCCCACAGATTATGATTTAATGGTTCTAGGTTATGATCTGGGCAGAAGATCCCAGTGATTCTAAAGTGCACTCTAGTCTGAGAACTCTGTCTCAGAGTAATATTCCTAGCCTTGCAACTTCTCTGAACAGTGAATTTAGAAGTGAAACTGGGCAAGAATGGCTCAGGCCCTACAGGGGTTTCTGTGGGATCTGCCCACCTGCCAAGTTTACCAAGCCTGTTTTGCTGCTCTGAGCCATACATTTTATACTAAGAGGCTCTGTGGCAAGGGGCAGAGGGGACACGAGGTGGGAGAAGCCTGTGGTTCTCTACAAGTGACTTCAGCCAGGTGAGTCTATCTAATTTAGGTATAAGGAAGGATCAGCAAGCCCATTTAGTCAACAAGCCTAAACCATCTTCTCCTTAACTGCTTATCTCTCCAATTTCACTTGGGAAAATTTCAAACCTTCAGAAAAGTTGAAAAAACAGTCCCATGACACCTATATGCCCTCCAGATACATTCATCAGTTGTTAACATTGTGCTCCATTTGTGCCCTTTTTCTCTCTCTCTCTCTCTCATGGTTGGGAGGAGGCTGAACCTATATAGTTCAAAAAGCGTCTCCTAAGAACAAGGGCATTTTTCTACTTCACCATGATACCATTTTTACTCCCAGGAAGTTTAACAAATATACATTATCTAATATGCAATCCATATTTAAATTTCTCCAATTTACCACAAAATTCCCTCTATACTTATGTATTTTTTTATTTCATCTTTATGGCAGTTTCCCCATTACCATTTGGTCCTCCTATGTCCCCCTCCTCCCAGCAGTCACCACTCTGCCGTCCATGTCCATGAGTCCTCTATACTTATTTTAAAGACGGCATGCTGCATAGTTGTCTTGTCTCTTTCCTCTTCGTAATCTGGAATAATCTCCCTCCTTTATATGAGATGCTGACAAATTTAAGAAGGCCAGACTGACTGTGTCATAGAATGTGCCATAATGACGCTTCCTTATTATTAGATTCATATTAAATATTGAGCAAGAGTACTATTCATGATGTTTCCTGCCTACTGCATCACACCAGAAAGAACATGTCGGTTTGCCCCATTGTCTCCGATGCTGAGCTTGATCACTTGGTTGACATAGTACCCACCAGATTCCCTCATTTTAAAGGTTTCTTTTATACCTAATAAATAATCTGTAGGGTGATTATATGGAACCATATGAATATCCTGTTTCTCCACAAACTCATACCCAGTGTTTTTGCATCCTTTGAAAACTTGTGATTACAACCATGGTTGCAAACAGCAATGTTTTAACTCTATCACACCTTCTACAGTTTTTAACTGGCTTTGTGTGTAAAGAAGAGCTCTCTTCACCTTCACTCCACTTACTGTTTTTTTTTGAGTATCGTTATGAGCACATGAATACTTTGTTTATTAATGAATTATGATCCAATACTATTATCTTTCTGAAACCAGCTTCTGTGTCCCTTCAACATATCCCACTAATCTGTGAGTAATGTCTTTAATTCTACAATAGGAGTTTTCAAGCTCATCAGATATAGTTCCTTCTACAGACCTGAACTCCTTCGTTTCTCCAAGAGTCTCCACTCCTCTTACTTGGAAATGGTATTTTTATACCATTTTTCTTTAGTACTTGTAGTGAAGTTTTTATTTTTACCTGCCTGGCTCCTGAATCTATCTCCAAATTCCTTCTAAACTCAGGCAGGGAAAAAATAAGATGTCATGAATTAATCCTTCTACACCTCGACACCTGACTTAGTGTGATACAGAACACACTCATACCTTATCATTTAAATACTGATAAATTTTTATATTGATTTAACAAATATTTTCATGTGATTATTCTGCACAGGGCCATGCGAAGCACCCAGGATGAAATCTGAAGCAAGACAAGCACAGCTGTGGCCTTCATGGAGCTTATGGTCTAGAAGGCAGAACAAACATGAACTAGAAGATCATACAAACATTTAACTGAAAATACTGTGCATGCTCTAAAAACAGGCACACTGAGTTCTAGGCATACCGAAGGGAATCAGACATACTCTGGGTAGTTAGTGAAAGCATCCTGAAAAATATGAACTTGGATATAAGACCCGAAAAATGGATAGGGGTGAGGGGGCTGTGTATGTGCTGGGGGCAGCAGTGGTGGTGGCAGAGGGCTAGGGAGGCAGTCAGGTAGCGGTAAAAAGAGGGACTTGGAATACTTGAGAAGGCAAAAGAATGTTGAAGTCTTGATACAGGCAAAAACTAGGGACAGCAGCTATTGGAGTGGCTGGAAGGCTGGCCAGATGCTGACTCCACGGGGCCTTGAGAGCAAGTTCAGGATTTTAGTTTTGAATCATCCATAAATGGGAAGCCTTATGCAGAAAAGAGACATAATTGGATCTGTATTTTAAAATGAATATTAGCTAATGCAGAAAAGATTGGCTGGGCAAGGGTGCATGTTAGCATTCCAGGTGGAAGGCTCTTTACAGTTGTGCACAGTGAGCGTTCTAGGGCGGTGGCTGTGAGATATCGCTGTCACTTCCTGTCACTGAAGCAGGCACACACCCATTTTGTGGTTCTCTAAACATTTCTCTAGACAATGGGGAATCTAATTATGGGCTCTACCCTAAGCTCTCCCCAGCAGCCCCCTTGCTCTCTGTTTCCCCTTTTTCTTTTATACTCAGGTAAGTAAATACAAAAATGAGAAGGGAGTTCATAATAGGAGTTTTGGAACACAGAGGCACACAAAGCCAGTAAACATGTCTCAAAAGCCTTCAATAGCAGGGGCTCCGGAGTCCCTAGAGGGAGGAAAAGAGATGGCACAGGAACTTGGAACTTTGTTTGGATCTTCTGTGGGGAGGAGGGAAGGATGGGTGAGAGGTGAAGGGGGTGAGTGTCTGAGCACAGGGCTTACCTTTGCCCTCCCCTCACTCCACAGGATCTGCCCTTTTACCAGCACACAGACATGTAGCCTCACTGAGAACCTGGTCTGTCCCAGCCCTGGAGATGGTTTGACATAGAGAACAGTGGGAATGGTGAATGCAGGGCAGCAAGGCCAGAGGTGGGTATCAGGCGGGGCAGGTAAAATGTCCTACGAGATGGAGATATGTGGAAGGGAGTACAGAGAATAACCCGAATGGTTTCTTAAAGCCATATAAAATCCATATGCTCTGTGAAAGTGTTTGAACACACTTTTAAAAGCTTTCCAACTCCTTTTACAATAGTAGCATAATCTAGTAAATGTAAAGGGGAAAGAGTAACATACAAGTCACACCATCTTAACCATTTCCAAGTGTCCAGTTCAGCAGTGTTAAGCACATTCACATTGTTGTGCAACTAATTTCCAGAACTCTCTTCATCTTGCAAAACTGAAACTCTGTATCCGTTAAATACTAACTCCCCACCCCTCCCTTCCCCCAGTCCCTGGCAACCACCCTTCTACTTTCCATTTCTATGAGTTTGACTATTTTATGCAAGTGGAATCATACAGTATTTGTCTTTTTAGCTTATTTTCTTTACCATAATGTCCTCAAGATTCATCATGTTGACACATATCAGAATTTCCTTCTTTTTTTTAAAGCTAAATAATATTCCATTATGTGTAAAAACTACCTGTGACTTGAATCCCAGGTGACAAGATTCTCAAAGTAGTCATTATATTTAGTTGGGAGATTTATATGCTCCACTCCGGGATGGGAGACCAAAAGAGTCTGCAGAATCAGTCCATGGTGGTCATTAGGAGCCCAGGAGGAAGAAGTTGGCAAAGTTATCCAAGTGGGAAGGAACCCACTGGATACGAAACCCAACCTCACATCCCGCCGCCACCACTACCCAGCAGCCCCAGGTGGTCCTCTCTCTCCTGTAGTCAGGGACAAGGAGCTAGGTGCCACTCCTTTAAAAGAATTCTTGGCTTGAAGAGGACAAAAAAAATTGTAGTTTTATACAAAAGTGCTCTCCAGTGGAAGAAGTAAATGACGACAAAGGGAATGTGTTTTCAATGAGGAATTGCATGTTAGGCCACTTTGCCTATAGGTGTGAAACTGAATCATATTCTTAAAATCACAGTCTTCAAAGTTTCTCTCTTGGCAACTGTGATTAGTCTTACAATGGGTAGGGGGATTACGAAAAGCAATTTTCTTGGTTTACTTAGTAAAATGGTACAAGGAAGAAAGCAGAAAAGTTATACAGTAGACAGGCAGGGGAAAGACATGGATATAGTACCATACTGTAAGTAATCAGTCCCCACGACACCACAGGGCTGTCAAGGACAGAAACCACAATGACACCGCATTGAGCTCTGTGGTTGTCTCAGGGCTGAAAGCTGGTTCAGAGGCCTCCCAGACGTGAGACCCTGGGCAGTTCATTTTAATAAAAATGGGGAGAGTAACAACTTCACTGTGAGGATACACTATGTCTATATATCAGGTAGAATTCTTAGTCCACAAACTCATGACTCCAAAAAAATAGAACTTCTATTTTTTAATAGTCACACTGAACTTCTAACCTTGACATTTATTCTTACTAGTTTGCTATTATTTATTTTTAACAGATAGAAATACACCCTCAGTTCTTTCCACAGTTTTATCAAGGTATGGGAGGGTGGAGAGCTAGAATATTCCTTTTGTCATCTGACATTAGAGATGGCTCCCATGATGTCCATTCATATCCCTCCCTACCCTACTCCATGGATTCAACAGCTCCTTTCTCCATTAGAACCAGCCTCAAGGCCTGGAAATCTTTACCAGGCTCTCTCTGACCACATACTATCTCCAGAGACACTATTGGAGAGAAGGTGCAGGTCCCCTGCTCTCAGGAACACAGGTATCTGTCAGCCCCTTCAGATCCATTCCCTACCACTCCCTAGAGAATTAAAATATATCCATCCCACCCCCAGCCCAGAATTAACAAATGTGATCCACAGTATTTCTGAGGGGATATACTGTACATGTATATTGTTTAACATCGCAGAAGAGATTCAGGCAGCCCCCTATAATCAAACACGTTCATATATTTTTAAAGATTTTATTCATTTATTTCTAGAGAGATGGGAAGGGAGGGAGGGAGAAGAACATCAATCAGTTGCCTCTCGTATGTCCATAACTGGGAACCTGGCCAACAACCCAGGCAAGTGCACAGACCTTGAATCAAACTGGTGACCTTCCAGTTTGTGGGACAATCCCAACTCACTGAGTCTGACCAGTCAGGGCAAACACATTCATATTTCTACATTAAAATATATGCACACCTCGCCCTATGTGGATGAATGAGAAGATAAACAGCTTCTCAGGTTTTGCTACCAACTAATGTGCTGCAAATTTACAAACTTTGGGTTCCAGGCTTTTTGGGTTTTGTAATCATAGGAAAAGATCATGGATCTATAGTTGAATTGGAGTCAGTTGTATATGAGTATGATGTAACTCCACTGTAGTGCAATAAAAATTCAAATGAGGAAGGTGCTGCTAAGAGATAATAAGATCTATAAAGATTTCATGGAGGAGAAACATTGAAAGAAGACTGGAGAATGTATGGAAATAAGCAAAGATCAGAAAATAAAATGCAAAAAACTAAAAACACCAAACTGTGGAGCGAATGTGGAGCAACTGGAACTCTCACTCATTGCTAGTGGGAATACAGACTGGCAGAGCTGCTTTGGAAGACATCCTGGCATTTCCCCTGCAAATTTAAATGTGTCTTTCTATTACACAATCCAGCAACTGTGCTTCTATGCATTTATCCACCTGTTCTGAAAACCAGTATGCACATGAAAACCAGCATGTGAATGTTTATAGCAGCTTTATTCATAATCACCCCCAAAATGGAAGCAACCAAAATGTCCTTCAACAGGCAAATGAATAAAAAGCAATGGAGTATTATAGAGCAATAAAAAGAAATAAGCTATCAAACTATAGAAAGACATGGAGAAACTTTAAATACAAATTTATAAGTGGAACTAGTCAATCTAAAAAGGCTGCATAGTACGTGATTTCATTTGTATGACATTCTGGAAAAGGCAAACCCATAGAGATGGCAGGCAGATCAGCAGATGCCGGGAGTTCAGGGTAGGGAGGGGTGCACCAGTGACGTGTAGAGGAGGTTTAGGGCATTGAAACTGTTTCATATGATACTGTAATGGTGGATATATAACACCAAATATTTGTCAAAACTCAAAGCACTTTATAGCACAAGGAGTCAACCTTAAAGAATGCCAAACATTTGAAATCATTTAGAAGTGGAGAAGGTCCTGGGAAGAAATGTAGAATGTGACAAAAGAATCTAACTGTATTACAAATATATGGAACACCCTCAGTGAGGAGGATGAGGGAGAAAGACGCTGACCCAAGCAATTGTGGAAATAAGTGGAGTTTGCAAATGAATGACAAAAGGAGCTCTAGTTGATAAAGTGGAGTATGGGTTACCAGTTCTGGAACCACTATACACGCATACTAGACTTGAACTATTAAGTAAATGGTAAATGGAATTATAGATGATAAGAACTGGCAAAGGCTAGAATGATAGATCATGTTTGGAGATATCAATATGAATTGTTTATCCTAATATAGATACAGATCATTAATACAGAAATATTTATAGATATGTGAATATACTATGGTTAGTATACACATATCCTCCCTGCCCTGACAGCTGGGAGGCCCTAGGGCAATGATACTCCAGTAACAATTAGAGTACCTGGTGCCAGCTCTTGGTTTCTAAAACCATTCTCCAACCAAAAGCACCGGGGCCCCTTGGAAAATTAGCTGATCTAACACTAGGGCAGGAAATATATAAGATGAGCTTGGAGCATCTTGTAGTGCCAGAAAGTAAGGAAGTGGGTGTGTCAAAGTGACAAAGGAGCCACCTGGAAGACCTTCCAATGGTTCAAGATAAAAGAATGTGAACAATAAAATAAGTAAGGTTGTATTATTGAATTATAACCCAAAGTATAAAATACATATTTGTGAGTCCATACTAATATAAATAAGTGACTGAATAAATAATAGAAGAGAATAGGCAACTTACCCACGCAGAAGAATTCAGTTTATGCATAAACAGCTTATGCAGATATTTTGCCCTCAAGGGGGATATTTTTTTTTAGAGAAGGGAGGGAGAAAAACATCAGTATGAGAGAGAAACATCAATTAGCCGTCTCTAGTCTACGCCCTTACTGAAGAGCAAACCACAACCCCAGCATTTGCCCCAACCAGGAATAGAATCCGTGACCTTTTGTTTTTGTGGGACAATGCCCAACCAACTAGGCCACACGGTATCCGTGTGCAGTTACTCCCTTCCAAAGAATAAAGTATAAAAGGAGAAAGAAAAAGAGGAACATTACCTCAACCAGGTGGTCAAGGTTAACTTCAATACTGGAAAGTCATACTGATAGTATGTACCCTTGATATGACACCCGTGATAAGAATACTTTACCTCTATTGTTTTCTTCCTAAAAAACTAATTTAATCATGAGGAAAATACCTGACAAATTCCAGAGGAGAGACATTTCACTTCTGTAATATGCCAGCCATTGTTCTACTGACTGGCAATGAACAAAACAAACCACCATGTCTACCCTGAGGACAGGACTACCCTCCTTTATAATGAGGAAGACAGTCAAAACACAGTATACATAACAACTAAGTCCACTGCATGGCATGTTAAAAGGTACTAAGTGCTGTATGGAGGAAAGAAGGAGCAGAGACACATCAAGGCACAGGTTAGAATGTAAACAGGGCCTCACTGAGAGTGACAGCAATATAAATAACAACTAAGTCAATTGTACAGCATGTTATAAGGTAATAAGTGCTGTATGGAAGAATGAAAGAGCAAGGCAGAGAGAGAGCAAGGTATAGGTTGTAATGTAAACAGAGCCTCGCTGAGAAAGTGACGTGGGAACGAACACTGAAGGAGGTGAGGGCCAAGCAGTCACTTGGGAAAGAGCCCCCGGGCAGAGGCAAAAGTTGCACCAAGGGCTCTGAGACAGAGATGTGCTTATTAGCATGGGCCGGTGGACACAAGGAGGCCGTGTGACTGGGCAGCGGGAGCCAAGGGGGCCATCACAGGAGATGAGGTTGGAGGTGCAATGGCAGGTGGGAGACAGACCATGGAGGGCCTTGCAGACCACTGCAAAAACTCTGTTTTTTTCTCTGGGTCAAACCAGATGTCACTGGAGGGTTTTGAGTAAGAGTGACATGCAGACAGTCAATGGTAGAAGGAGGTGAGGGCAGGAGCAGCAAGTCAGGTAGGAAGCTGTTCCACAAACTGAGGCATGATATAAGGAGGGCCCAGAGTGGTCAGATTCTGGTTATTCTTCAAGGTGAAGCCTCTGATGCTGAGCGAGAGAGAGGGAAGAGCTGAGGATGCCTCTGAGGTTGGAGGCCTGAACAACTAGAAAGAAGGCACTGCTCTGAAAGTCGGTCCCATATTAACTCATCTAATCCGCACACCACACTGAGGAGGGAAGTGATGTCATCCTTCCCATTTCCAGTGAGGACACGAAGACACAGAGAGGATGTCCAGGTCACATAGCCACTAAGGGACAGAGCCGGGATTTGACCAGATGGACTGGTTCCAAAGTCTGTGCTCTTGACCACTGCACTAAGCTTCTCTCCAACACAGCAGCCTTGTTGGATAAAAGGTCTTTATATTGGGGGAAAAATTTATTAATACCAAGGATAATTCTATAATCTAGGCAAAAGTGTCTGGGCCTGAAGTAGGATGAGCGGCACAAGAATAAAAAGAAACAAAGGAACAGATTCATGGACAAGGTAACACAAAGCAGGCACAAGACACACTGACAAGGGTTTGTGCAGCTTTTCAGACAGAAAACATCAGCTCTGAATGCTCAGCTTTCACATTCAGACCGTCAGAGGCTTACATCATCCCTATTGAAGTTGATGAGTACTAGGCGAAGAATGGCCCCTGGTGTAGGCTGGGCAGTTTAAGCCATTACAATCTTGTAACAAGCTTTCCCTCTGTAGTAACCAGACTATCCCCTCATATAATGGAATATGATGGGCCCTGGAATATATAGAAGATACAGCAATATTTCCATAATGCTACAGGCTGAATTTAGACACAAAGGCTCTTTGGATGTTAATAGCATTGTAGTTTGCAAGAATCTGGGGGTTGTATGTACATGTACAGTCTGACCTGATACCAGCTGTCAGTAAAAGCCATGACAACATCCAGATAACCACATAAAAGTAAGAGACTTTTAGTCCTTGCTCTGGGGCAGCCTAGGATCACAGGACATGAGATGAGCCTGTTCCACTGTTGGAAACATCTGCTAGAAACATTTACAACTTTTATCCCAACCCACCCCAATCAACACACACTGTATTCTCCCTGAAGTGGGAAGAACCATAATGCTCACCCCATCTTAAGCTAGGGACTCATTTTTTTCCTTTCCACTCAACTCTGCTGAGTCTGTATCTCTATGCATATGTTATTTCATATTTTTACCAATTACTACAAAAGGCTTTTAAATACATCATCTCATTTAAGCCACACAACAATCCAGCAAGAAGAACGTGTACTAGTATTCTAATTTTGTAGAGGAAGAAACAAAAGGTGAGAGAGGTTAACTGGCTTGTCCAAGGTCACATGGCAGCTAACATCCATGCCTCACAGCTTCAAATGCAGCCGGATTTCCACGCCCCCACGCTGCTGCCCTGGCCCGAGCTAGACGTTCCATCCTTTGCTGGTCAGTCTCCAGATCCAACTCACCATAATAAGCTCTCACACTTCAGCCTCTTTATTTCCATCACACACAGCAGCTCTCTTCACCTTACCCTCAATCAACTTATTTAACTTTGCTTTTATTGCCTCATGCCCTTACCCAACTGCACTCCACCTGATGACACTTCTTAAGGTACCACTTTGATCACACCTCTTCTCTCTCACAAACCACTGAATACATCCACTGGCCTGGAGAATCCTCCCAGATCCTGCAGCAGTGCCTCCCCCTGGTCAAAGCCCGCCTCCCTTGCTGGCCTCATTTCTCTATAAGCACCTACAGGAAGCCTCCTGCAACTTTTCTCATATGTTCCTTTTGCTGGCCTTTGATTTATTTCTTTTCACTTAGAACACTTTGCCCATTAACCCACCACCCACTTTGAAATTCTGTACATCTTAAACACAGAACTCAAATTCAAACTTCTTCATAGAGCCTTTCCTGTTTGCCAGGTGACAGGATTTCTACCCATGTGGCAACTATCATACACTGTCCGGTAACATAATTTCCTCTTCCAGTCTGTGAGCTCCAGGAGGTCCCAACTATGCCACAGGCACCTCTGTATCACTCTAATGTCTAGCACAGGGCTCTGAACATAGCAGGTATACAACAGATGTGTAAAATGCTTTGGATAAATGAGTATTTATGTTAAAAACCACCTGCCCATGCAAACATATGCAGTTAGAGTCCAAATGGAAGACACACACACACAATGCCACAAATTTGTTATAATACACACATACATGTAACAGCACAAATTTATTATAATACACATACTCACAACAAAACTAAATCTCCAGAGGTCTCCACAGTCTTTAAAAACATGACAGAAAGAAGGGATAGAATGAGAAAATGTAACCTCATAATCTTATAATTTAGATAACAATGTAATTTACTCAATTAACTCTACTAAATTAAAACTGTGAAATTGCAATGTCCCTTACACAATTAACATTTTGCATTTCTATTTATTTACAATATACATGTTTTCAAGGGTTCATAGAGCCTTATGAACCAGATCTTGTAGTTTGTTAAGTGAGCAAATCCAAAGGCAATAATGTCCCGAAAAGTGGGATGAAGTCCCAGTAGAAACTCTGTGACCCACCAAGCCCTTTGATAAACACTGCCTGTACAAGTTCTGCATCTGGGTATGCATTTTGATCTGCTCATGTTTATTTACATGGAGGATGCTTCTGCCAGCTGTGATTCCTTTTCATGTAACATTCTAGCTCTCCACTTTGATTCATGCAACTTAGAATGTTTCCCTCACATGTTGCTGTTAGCTGATAGGCATGTCAAATGTCTCAAAGACTACCAGGCAGATAGGAGAGGTTGTACCAGGCAGGTTAGAAAGTATACAAGGAAATAAATCAAAATCTCTTGCTTTATATTCTTTTATTTTCTTCATTTTTATGTTTTGTTTTGTTTTTTGCTTTTGGTCTCTACCCTGCTGGGGTCTTTGGCAATTGTGTGTATATGTAGCAGCACCTACCACACCTCATTTAGCACGAGTCCGATTTGAAGAGGCAAAACACAAAGACACCTCAGGAATCCTGAGTCTCTCCGAGAAATAAATTAGATCTCTGTTCCTGTTAGCTCTGCTCTCCTGTTCCTTATTCTTTATGTTTAAAACTGTCAATTTCCTCCCATTTTCAACCCTCATCTTCTCATACTATAAGCAAGTGAAGTCACTAAAGGTCACTTCAAGGCACATAACCTTATGAATCTGCTAAGTGTGAAAGGCCATGGAACAGATTAATAGGCTGGGAAGATGCAGACTGTGGGCGATTACTAGTGAGTAAACAGTCAGACTCTTTTTTACAGTGAGCATCACTGGGTGTTACACAATAACTGAGTCACACAGTACTAATTGTTCAAAGTTATACAAGCGTAAGGAGCCCTTCAAAAATACAGTATAAATATAGCAGGGAAAAACAAGCTATAAAAGAAAAAAATTTAGATGTCTAAATATTTGTGTTTCTTGGACAAAAATCTACTGACCATTAGTTTGGGTTTGAGAACAAGAGAATTTTTAAAAGTAGCAATTTTAAAGAAGCAAAATAAATTTTAGTCCTTCATTGTATAAGTTATAAGTTTGTAAAAAGAAGTCCAGGCTGTTAATTATTAATTCCAAAAAATATTTTTCATGCAGTATATCTAGAACAATAACTATTATGTGGTCTCTGCTGAGAGAGCTGCTTGTATAACTAAATCTTCCCCAGATAATCTCTGTGTCACCATGTGCCTCCAATTGCTTCACAGGCCACATGTCTGCAAACTGCAATGGGTGGTCTGAAATCATTGATGATCTCAGGCTACCTGCAGTGTGCTAATGACACAAGCATTTACATCTAACCACTATGCATTTAACCAAGATAACCTTTTAAAGGACACATGGACAACACCAAAGGGGGAGGGGTGGAAGCAAGGGAGGGAGGTGGGTTTGGAGCGGTGGGGCAAGGGGTGGGGAGAAAAGACAACTCTAATTGAACAACAATAAAATAATTTTAAAAAAAGAATTCCCCCCCACACACAAAAAGATAACCTTTTAAACCATTGCAATGTTAGAAAGTGACATTACAACACAACAGACAACAGACTAAAATAACACAGTAGTTTTCCTAGTGAAATAACACAGTGCTTTTTCCATTGACAAACTCACCTCTTTCTAGAAATATACAAACATAATTGAAAAACAGTCATTGCAAAGTGTCGATTAATCCATCAGAACAAATCACCTGTTTTCAAACATTAACCTTAGTGTCAAGTGCATCAGTGTGCTTGTCAAAGGAAGTGTCACTTCTAAACACTTTATACAACCGAAGGTTGTAAGAAAGTCTCATCAGCAAAACTGGTGGTGGGTACTCCAGAGATCCATGAAAAAATTGTTAGTGATGGTAAATGACAACCTATCTAAAATTCACTTAATGTTCACTTTGTTAGTTCTTCAGAATGGGAACTGAACTCTAGAATAAACACAGTGTCTTCTGAGTATAGTCAAAAGGCTGCAAAGCCAGAGCCCACATCTGGAGGTTTTCAGACCTGGCAGAAGGATTCCACTGTACAGCACGGATCTCTGTCCGTACTCAAAATATCCAATGATATTTTTCATTTATATTGAACTTCTTTGAAAAGTACTGTACAATTTCACACAATCCTTTATTGTAACAGAATGTATCAACCAGAACCTTTAGATGAGGCTTAAAAGCAGCTGAAAAACTGCCTGCTTCACTATCAGAAGACTCTGTCGTCTGGGAGTTTGAGCTCTCAAATATCAGAAACCCCCATAGCTTACCATAAAAATACAAGCTCTTGATTTTGAAAAATATACAAAATGCACTGCACATGGAAATATATCTTGATTGTCAAGGAAGACCAGGGATCAGTTTCATTCATAGATTCATGTGGTGCTTGAATTTCAGTGGTCTTTGTTTTTGCAGATTCCGTTTTTCACAGTTTTGGGCAGCCTCTGACCTTTCGTGTAGGCTCGGTACCAAAAATGGAGAAAGAGCAGCAGAAAGATGAACCCATAACTCATAATGATGTACAGAAAGACTGGAAACTGGTACTTGCAATCCTCCATGAAAAAGAACTGGCCTATGTGGATGGTGACAATAATAAACTGGACCTAACAGATGAAAGAATGAAAAATTGTTCAGACATGAAGAGTCGCAATGGAGCAATTAGTTATGCATTCTTCGCCTGCTTATGTTTCAACACCCTCCAACCACTTCCAGGCTACAGCCGGGTAGGGAATTTTATCTTTCAATCTAAGCTCCATGGGAGTGACAGTGGGTGGAACAGTGTCAAAATTCAGCTGGGAATGTGGACCCACTCTTTAGTGCCACCAAACTGCACAACTCTGGAGGCCTCATGCCAGTGTCCTGGGAGCTGGGTGACATGCCGGCCCTTTCACATGCAGAAAGCCATCGGGGCAGTTTTTCTGCAAGTCTTTGACATGAGTCCTTGACTGCTGAAATGCTCATGGGGTCACTACCTTATGGCCTAATATTTAGAATAGTTTTAATGTCAAATAGTTTGCTGTTAGATCAGGTATTTCAATTATGTGGAAATGAAACATTCTAATTAGAGCCCCGCCAATTTTGTAGGAGCTGAAGTGTCTGAGTCTCCATCTCTGCCATTTGTCCTCCACGATCATGGGTAAAAAATATGTCCTATCTGCCAACAGCAGCAGAGACTCTGCAAGGACTGAGACCAGTTTAGGGACCCTCCCAGTGATGCCCAATGACTGTGTTCTAGAACATTCCCCACAATCTTAAGGAGACACTTCTGGGTTAATGTCAGATTTTATTTGGATATATTTTTTTCTCCTTAAAATTGAAAGGCAACATGCATTCTTTAGAAAAGTAAAAATCTATAAATAAGAATAAATAATAGTTACCCATGGTACATCCAGTTATCACTATCGTTAAGATTTCCACATAGTTTCTTTTATTATCACCATCAACTTTTCTTGCACTATATTAAGGAAATTCTGTGACATTTCTGTGCAGTAGCTATAATTATTCCTCTCATTTTGCAGAAGAAGAAATGAAACCTTAGGAAGTCTGATCAACATCCTCAACATTCTATGCAGGTGTGATTTCATATAACCGATACATTGGAAATAATAATGAACAAACATCTATTCTACTTTCTAGATAAGTATTTTCCTACATTATTAAAAACTCTTACAAATTTAAGAGTATGTAAAGTGAAAAAACCCTAATACTAAATTTTATAGGCAGTATAATGCAAATCCTGTGAAAGGTATACAATCTATACATACACAGAGGAGAAACACTGGGTAAGAACAAAATAAAATGTCAGCTCTGAGTGTCCCTGCTGATGGAATCATGTTTATTTTTCTTTCTCTGTGCTTAACTTGATGTTCTTATTTCTCTGCAATGAGCACATATTACTTTAAAATCAGAAAGTACACTTAGAAAGCAATTTATTTACAATATATATATGACTTTGTAATTTTCATGACTTCCAAATATTCCAAAGAAGGAGTTAACATAGTGTATTGCACCACTTCCTTAGGGTTGCTTATTTGGGGCATTTTCAATCTGAAATACAGTAAACAACTCTGCAGGGATGTACTCTGATACTGATTTAAGATCTTTACAGACTAAAATATCAGTCTCTCACCTGGGGTAACACATTATATAAATATGCCAAATGTCATGTAACAAGTTGTAGGATTTTGATAGAAATTATGCTTCAATAGGCTAGATACACCTAAATTCATGCTTTCTCCTTAGCATTATTGGCAGAATACAACACTATATTATTATAGACTGTAAATCTAAAAAGATGAGGATCACAGAATTTTTCTTTTAATAGAAGACAAAATTTGAAGCAAATCATCATATCAATCCATGGTTACTCTTCAAAAAAATATATATATATACATGCCATATATTTTTAGGATTAATGCTTGGAAAGTATCATGAAGCCTAAACTGAGTGCCTCTGCTCTCCTGAACATTGGTTACTTGAGGACAGTGCTCTAATTTATGTTATTGGGGGGGGGGGAGCGGCTCTTAAAAATAAAGCAATTATGAGTCATTTTCATGACCTTCTAATATTCCAAAGTGGAAATTAAAACACTTTACTCCCTTATGTTTGGCTATTTAGAGTGTTGTCAATTTTGTGTGTGTGTGTGTATATATATATATATATATATTATATTATATTACCACTGTTCTCTTTTAATCCTCACAGTACTTTTACTAATTGGAGGAAAACAAACTTAGAAATGTGAGGACTAAATTGGCAGGCACATAGAAAGGCTCATAATTCCCCTTAAAGTTACACTCCCTCAAGGTCATTCAAGTCTAAAATATAAAACTTTTAACTTCTAATTTAAATATTATGTCTACTGAGGTTCACATAACTTTGAGATTATTTTGGTCATAAATGTTTATTTTATATAAATGCATAAAATACTACAAGGATGGTATAAAGATACACATTTTGATTTAATTGTCTGAACCTCTTCGCTAATAAATATGCTCTGCTGTCAATAAAGTTCCCGACAAAAGTTTAAATAAGAAAGAAAAGATAATGACATGATGCCATACAGAGGCTAGACACTCCATATCCCTGTCACTTTCTAAACTCTGTTCTTTATTTAGTTAACATCCTAACTCACAGGGAAGATAGGTTGTCTTAAAGAAAATAACTACTCACGAGCTGCAATGATGTCAAATATTTTTTCCACCACAGATACTTCTGGTAGGCTGGTCCCAATGCACACAGTCCATAGTAGGAATACATGACCACATGCACGGCTGTGTTTACAAAGGCATGGAACGTTCCCAAACCTCCTGGAAAATAAAATCATTGTGAACTGAGGGCACTGTTTCTACAGCGAGGCATGTTTTTGTCTGAACTGTGATTTTACTATGTTTATTTCTTTAATTTTAGTGGGAATAAAAACGTACAGTATACAAAACATCAATCCTATTAAACAGCTATCAAATTAGAAAGAGCTAGAAAATATATTCATTTAGTTAAATATAATATACAAGTCTTAGAAAGTAAATTGTCATGTCTTTGCGCTATAATACCTTGACTTAAGATGGGCTTATGATTTGAGTTTAACAATCTGAGTTACTTTTTAAACATGATATATTGCTAAATAACAGTAATCAAACTCATTTTTAGAGGGTTAACATATACAAAGAACACAAAGTACGTTAAGTGTACAATTTGATAGTTTTTTTTTTATATATGGAACCATCACCAAATTCAAGATATAAAACATTTAGGCCCTGGCTGGTGTGACTCAGTGGATTAAGCGTGGGCCTGCGAAACAAAGGATTGTGGTTCAAATCCCAGTCAGGGTACATGCCTGGCTTGCAGGCCAGTTCCCAGCAGGGGACGCGTGAGAGGCAACCATACACTGATATTTCTCTCCTTCTCTCCTTCCCTTCCCCTCTATATATAAATAAATAAAATCTTTAAAAAAAGATATAAAACATTTAGGACACCAGGTAGGGTTCCCATATCCCCTTTCAGAGAATACACCCCTCACAATGTCACATTTGATTTCTACATCTGATTTCTACAGTCAACTATTTGATTTCTAACATCTGATTTCTACAGTCAAGTATTAATTTTGCCTGCTTTTAAGCCTCATAGGAATAGAACTGATATATTCTTTTGTACCTTTCTTTCAATCAACATATTTTAATATTCATCCATGTTGGTGTTCATATTAGTAGTTTGCCTTTTTATTACTATATAGTATTATACTATATGAATACATTAGAATTTATCCATTCTCTTATTAAGAAATACTTGAATTGTTTCCATTTGGGGTTATTATGAATAAAACCACCAAAAATACGTTTACATATATTATTGTATGAAATCAAATACACTTTTTACACTCCCAATTTTCAATAAATATTTTTAGTACCACAAAACTTTGGCAGTAAAACCACTGGCTTTCATTAGTAAGCTATGCTGTTTGTTTTAATCAACGATTGTTTTTCAAAAATAAACATTTATTGTTAAACCATTTTTATTTACTGCTTCCACTTGATTTTTATAAATTGTGCCTTCCTATCTTGGTTTTCATCTTCTGATTTCCCTACACCTCCTACTAGTCACATTTAAGTGAGAAGCAAAGAATGCTGGAGTGAATGTAAACAAAGATCATTTCGACCACCTTTAGCTGGACTAGTGGTAAAGCAGAAGGAGGAACTGGGTGATTCGTTGGCAGTGGGGGAAATAAACAAAACTCTTCCCACGCATCTCTTTCCAAAGTGGCACAAACTAGAAGAACCTGCATTCTTTATGTACAGCCTGATTCAGCTTAGTAATGTTGGCCTAAAATTTAAATTTTTCTCCAAAATATTTTATTTTCTTTATTCCAGTATTCTTTAATTTCAGAAATAAAGCAAAACCTCATAAATTTGGACTAACTGTGTAAGAAGGACCAAATTCATGAATACTATGAATTACAGAAAGTTTAAAGCAAAATAAAAGTATTGCATAGTAGAAACTAATTATTTTTTAATAATCACTTATAATTGTGGCAATTCTAGATACTACCACTGCTAAGGTACTCTCTTAAAATAACCTGTTTTAAATAAGTATTTTAAGCAGCTTAAATATTCCTCCAATGCCTCATTTATGATATACCGTCCCTTGATAAACTTTCCCTTTCTGAGTAAATAAAATTTTAGTTGATACTTTAATTATCACAAACTTTAAATCAGAAGAAAGTGAAGCTTTGATTACATTTGGGCTAGTCTTCTTTTCCAAAAGAAATTTAAGTAGATATTAAATATTTAAATAAATAAGCTGCTTAACAGGGACATGCCAAATACCTTTCAAGTCTATTTGTGTCTCATAATTAAAATACACACAGGAAATCTACTGTACCCTTGAACCAATTTCATCAGAGCCCGCCTCATTAAGACAACACTCTCAATTTTCGGTATGTGTTCATATTCCCATTCATAAGCTTCCATCATTTAAATGTCCTAAAATGAGGATTCTATGGACAGAAATTTAACAAAGCACTAGTAAAGCTAGGAGTGTTTAGTGAGGATTACTGATGAAAATAAGCTATCAAAATCAACTTGCATATTTTCTCTAGTGTATGAATGATTATTTTTTGATAAGATATTTTAATGAGTTTGTTCACAAAACAACCACATTTAATTAGCGATGTTTTTCATATCTTCTTTGAAAGGCTTCTCTAATCAAGTTTTTTCTGAGCTTGCTTTCTTCTTTGTAATAACAGTTCTGAAAAGGAAACATCTCAGAATGAATTATAATTATTGCCATCACATTTTACTCTTTTGGTTTGGGAAAAAGAAAGGAATCACCTGGGTGATTATTTTAATTCTCTGTATTTCTGGAAGGGAGTCTGTGCATAATATAAAGACCTATCACAAAAATATTTACATCACATTCAAAATAAAAGCTGGGTTGCTATTATCCCAGAGCATCGTACAAAATAGGAAAACAGGAAATTAAACACTAAATAGAAATCAGCTATGCTCAAGTTTTTGAAAGAACAGTTTTAAATGGGCGGTTTCAGTGTAGGAATGGAAGCCAATGCCAAATCACACCTCTGGAAACATGTTAGCTCTTACTGCTGCGCTGCTCACTGACCAGACAGCAGGTTCATGGTCTACTGGAGGCCACATGGAGGCTGAACAGGAATGCCAAGTCATAGACCATATGAGAATAAAAAACATTATTTTCCACTCTTTTTATTTTGTGGAGCATAAGTGGGATCAAGGTGTGGACAATGAACCCACTACAAAGTGCTTAATGGCCATAAACATTGAAAAATTGAGGTATATCATGTGTTTAAATTTTCATTCTTGAAAACTTTTTTTAAAAGATTTTTATTTATTTTTAGAGAGAGGTTGAAAAGAAGAAGAAAGGGAGAGAAACATCAAAATGTGGTTGCCTCTCATAGGGCCGCCACTGGGGACCTGACCTACAACCCAGGCATGTGCCCTGACTGGGAATCAAACCAGCAACCTTTGGTTTGCAGGCCCACACTCAATCCACTGAGCTATACTAGCCAGGGCTCTTGAAAGCATTTTTTTGAAATGGATTCAAAGACAGAAATTAGAAAAGTGCTCAACTCCATTCTTCAAATACAATTTATTTTTCCCATTGTAGAATGAATGGGTATTTGATACAGAAAAACCAGAAAATGTAGAGAAGAACAGAGAACATGGAAACCAGTTTTTGCGTCAACATCTCTAAATCACTGTATTTTGGAGAATTGCTTTCCAATCTTTTTTGTCTATTTTTATATATTTTTTCAGTGTTGTGATAATATTCTGGTCTCGCAAAAGAAATCTGAATAAATAAATTATAAGGGTATAAAAGAACATCTTCTAGCATACTTTAAAAATAGAAATAGCCACCTATTTCTAATTTAGGAAACAAGCTGCTTTAAAAAGTAGCTAAATGCTTCTCGGTATCATTTGTGTTTCACAATTATACACACAGAAAAAATCATAACCATTCAATTAGTGGTTGTTCAGGTCTTTCTCAATATTTCACTAAGGCAAAACAAAATGGCAACGATATCATTGTAGAAAGAACTGAGAGGTACACCATGCATGTGGGAGGAAAGCAGTTAAGGTAAGTAAAATAACGGAGATTAGATAACATAGTTACTCCTGATCTGTGAAACGGACACAGATGAGACTATCTTGCAGTGTGAATTCAAGTTTTACATTAACATACATTGTCAGACAAAACAGCTACATTTACTTTTTCAAAATGCTCAACAAATAAATGCCAACTTGAGGCAAGGAGACACTGTCCATACTGGAGAATCCATGTCCACAGACATGGTAGGGGCAGCCCTCCTGGCTCTTCTAGGTCTGGCCTCTCCCTTGTGCTGCTGGCTTATCCATGTCCTCTCATGCTCTGAGACATGAGTCACGTAGATTTCTGCCCCATGCCCAGAGAGTCTAAAGCTCAAATGAAAGTTCCTTGACAGTGGTTCCTCTTTTTTTTTTTTTTTTTTTCAGTCTTGCAGAGTCAGAATGACTGATAGAGGTGAGCCAATCAGAGGACTGTTAAGAACATAGTCTAAGACGGGCCACAGGCCTCCTTGAAGACTACTTAACTTTAAGAAACCACCATAAATAAGTCCCCCAACCAATTTTTGCTAATAACATAAGAATATGTCCTTGGGAATACTATTTATTTTAAAACTTTAAGATAAGATAAAATTACTTAACTTCCTGCTTTTTTCCAGTTGTAGATGTTCAGAAACATGAAACCCAGACCAAACCAAAGAGCCTGTTTGACAAGCTTTTTAAACTATTTAAACTATTCTTGACTTAAAAAACAAATATCAAAGCATCCTTTAATATGGTAGGATGCTTCAAAACTGCAATTTGACACATTTTTAAAGAACTGCTAGGGGTTAGAATAAGTACCAGCTAATAGAAATTTGAAAACAAATAAGAAAGAAGACGTGGAACTTAAGTATTCAACTCTCTGGATACATGTAAGGAAGAGATATATAACTATAATTCTATAAAACCAAGACTTGTATCATCTTATATATTATTATTTGTTTATTTAAAGATATTTAATAGAACTCTACAGGGAAAAATAAAATCCAAACAAAACAACTAAAAATATATGTGTAGCAGACTGTACCCCAAAGTGAATGCCTTCCCAAAGGATGGAGGGTTGGAGAAGGGTCCAGGTAAGAGTCTTGCATTTAGGTTTCAAGTAATAATGCAAGTTAGAGCAAAGCAATTCTTTGATGTTTTGAGTTTCTCTTAAATCACATTTAAGAACAGAGTTAGAGTTTATACATAAAAATGTTTTATTTATAATAAATGATCCCAATCTCCCTTGGCTACCTGCAGCAAATTTGACTCCAAACCACCAGGTCCATGGCATGATGGTATGATGGAAGACATGCAGGAAAGTCACTTGGCTATTTTTCTTACGCAGAACAAAAAAGATCTGAAATAATTTAAAGAAAATCAAGTTCATATAAAATCATGCAATAATTCATCTAGAGTTATAAAAATATTGGCAAAGTGAAAACTATTTCACATCATAATTTGCTCTGAAAGAACCGACTTATAGATGCTCACAGAAGCAGCTGATTCTCCAAAGGGCAGTTCAAAATCTAATTGGTATGAACGAACTTAGGCAATGACGCCTAGTCACAGGAGAATCAATAAATAGTTAAAAAGAAATTGCATGCAGATTTGAAAACCAAAGATGTAAAGCAAAAACTATGGCCAAAAATTATCAAAAGAAATGTAATTCATCAAAAAGAAATCCACATGGATTTTGAAGTATATGGGAAGGTAGGAAATCAATTCTTATGACTGAAATTATTCTACATTGCTCTCTAACACATCCTACTAATTGAGGTAAGGGATTAAGCAAACTGAAAGAGGACTTGCAACAAATCAAGAGTTAGCAAGTTATAATTAAAGATAAGCGAGGAGGGAAACGTTTGAAGAGTTCATTGGGAAAACAGGATGGAAAAGAAAGCAAAACTGCCTTGGAAAAATGAGAAGAGCAGCAAAGGCACAACCCAGACTGAATGTACCCAGTGGGTTGCAAAAGCTCTACAAAGGAGTTGAATGGGAAGGGTTTGGAGAAAATTTATTTCAAAAAATATTCAAAAGCAGGATCGAATGTCAAAAAATACTCAAAATTCAGGAGAGCGATGATGAGTTAGACTTTTAAATGGTGTAACTGAGCAGAGGAGCAGTACTCATCGGGGGGTTTCAGAAGCCTGGTTTAAAGGAGGACGTAGAGGCGGCAACCATTTCCTTATGGAAGCTAGAACTAAGAACATGTAAAGCAGAAAAAATGAAGCCAAAATGCACTTGCTTATGCACATGAGAGAAGGCAGCATGGTGCAATAGAAAAAGCCATAAAACAGCAATCTGGGGGCTTAGCCCATCAATAGCAGAATTCCTTTGGGTAAGTCACTTAACCTCTTGGCATGGATGTATTTCCAGACTGAGAGCTCTGGACTTTAATAGATCAATAGTTCTCAACCCTGGCAGTGTATTACAATGTCTAAGAAGCTTTTTTAAAATAGCCATGCCTGGTCTCTACTCTACACCATTTAACACCAAATCTCTGAGGATGGGGCCTGGGCTCTTCACTTGCTAATGCAGTTAAATCTACTGCACTGTGAGGACGGAGAACCATTGGACCACACCACAAGGGTTCTCAAAGTGTGGCCCTTGGACCAACAGTAACGACAGCACCTGGGAACTTGCTAGAAATGCGAATTCTGGAGCTTCACTCAAGACCTATTGAATCAGAGACTCTAGGGCCTGGGACATGGGCATCTGTGTTTTTCACAAGCTCTCCAGAGGATCCTAATGCATGCTATACTTTGAGAACCACAGGAGTGATTCTAGGCTCACTGAAGTCCTTTCCAATGATAATATTGAGAAGGATAAGCACACAGATTTGCCACAAGAAGTGCAGTGGTATATATTCTGAAGAGAGAACACAATTGTCTGTCTTAGGCCCAGGATTGATTCTGGATAACCAAGACCCACATGCCACAAATATACAATAATTATTCAGCTTTCCTACTTTGGGAATGAAGGCACACAACTTTCCTCTCCTTATGGACCCTAATCCAAGGCACTTGCTTCTCCCAAGGCTCAGTCACCCAAATTCAGAGTTTATCCCCATGCAGAGAGAGGACCCAGAGGGCAGCTGAAGGTAGTTTTGATATCACTCAACTTACTAATATGCAAGGGTAACTTAACATTGCTGTGTAAGTGTATGAATTTTGAAGCATTTACCCTCTTAAGGGAGTACAGTGATGCAGTGCTTTTGAAAGAAGGATCCAAGGTAAAATGTTCTCTGCTTTTCACTTTCTAAACCTGCGTCCCAAAACAACTGTCATCCATCTACATAAGGATGCAATTTTATAGTGTATTCAACAGTTACATGCTTGTCTTAAACAGGTGGTCAATACATATGAAAACCTTTTGAAGTCTGCAAAAGACTAAAAATAAGCTTATCCTAGCTAGTCTCTAAAATTACTGATAATAAAACACCTGAGGAGGAGAGATAACTAACAGAAGTTACCAGATAACTGAACTCTAGCAGTTTATTGCTTTCATGGAACATTAAACATTTATCAAATGAGACCATTACAGACTCACAGTATCTAGTAGCTCGATAAATTTGGAGAAGTAATAAAGCCAGCAGGTGCGTACCATCTGCAGAAACACAGAAATGTAAATTTATTTTATTTTTTTACATGGAGGAAAAACTAGTTTTTTTTTATTTTTAGCAAAATACAGATAACATAAAATCTACCACCTTAACTACTTCTAAGTGTACAGTTTGGTGGCACTGAGTGCATTCACACCGTTGTGCAATCATCACCACCACCCACACACAGAACTCTTCACTCATCTTGCAAAACCGAGACTGTTCCTATTAAACTCTTCCCCACCTCCCTTCCCCCAGCCCCTGACCAAAGCCATTTACTTTCTGTCTCTGAATTTGACTCTAGGTTCCTCATATAATAGAACCATACAGTATTCTTGTCTTTTTGTGCCTACATTATCTCACTAGATAATGTCCTCATGGTTCATGAATGTTGGAGCACATGTCAGAATTTCCCTCCTTGTTAAGGCAGAATAATATTCCACTGAATGTGTACATGCTGTTTAACCATTCGTTCACCAATGGGCACTTAGATCACCTCCACCTTTTGGCTACTCTAAATAATGCTGCTATGAATATGAGTGTACAAATATCTTTTTGAGTCTTTGCTTTTCATTTTTAAGGTATATACCCAGAAGTGGAATTGCTGGATCATATAAATTCTATTTCTAGCTTTTGAGGAAAGAGATATGAATTTACTTTTAAATCTAAGAAAGTAAAAAAAGTAAAAGCACCGATTTTCATGTTACGGAACACAACACACCTGACTTTGATTCTTTCTGGTTGGTAAGTTTTAGCTTTTTTCTTTCAATTTATATATTCTAATAATTGAGTCACATACTCATTCTGAGTTCACCTTGAGTGTTACAGATAGAGTCCAGTTTTAATGTTGATTTTGAGTTATAAGTTTTCCCAAGAGAAACTTACCCTCAATGCTGTAGGCGACTGTGAATAGTCAACAATTTCACATCGAAATGAATAACCTGTCCCCCAGCCAGACATTACAAACTGCAAGAGAGAACATGCATTTTAAAGAAGGAAGCATCTGCTCAACAGCCACAACAAAGGCAGCTCTGAATGTCCCTTCATTATGTGCTCAGCCGAGTCAGCAGTCAGTGCACAGGGAAAGGCGGCAAGAACAAGTGCAAACAAGGAACTTGCTGGATATCAAAGCAGGAAGAATTTTCAAAATCATAAACTCATATATTATTTAGATAAATTGTATTTGAGATTAAAATGCCCATTTCTTGGGACTAACAGAGCAGAGAATGAAACACCGGGAGTGTTTTGCTTAGACATTAAATACTGGCAGGTATATTGTATACAACTATATATGCCCACGCATGTGTTTGTGTATTCTAAAGGGAATAGCTGGGTCCGAATTCAGTCTTTTCCAGTGATTTCCAATTTTCCCAATGAGTCAAAAAATAAATAGGCAACCCAAAAGTCTCCAGTGTACTCATAAGCTAGCGGCAACAACTGTATTTTTCCTGCCCTTAGCTGATGAGTGTAACACAAAGTGGTAATCATGGTCCATGGCTCTTAAAATTCAGGTTGACCAAACACAAGACTCAGATCGTAGTTTTGCTTTGGGTTCACACGACAAGTGAAAAATGCGATCCAGCAAGACTTAATTCCAGGACACCCACGCGGTGACCTTATACTAGTGATGAAAAGAAAAAGCCTACTGTTGATAGGACTGACCCATAACTCAAACATTATACCAACATTCTTTCAGTCTGATGTGGGAAGGTCTTCTTTTAAAACAGTATCTGAAAATGAAAAACTAAGGACTGTAATTTTAAATGAATGCCTATGTTAAATGTTTAGCTTAATTAAGAGTTCTGAAAATACAACTACTTCTCTTCGATATTCTAATCTCATAAATGCTAACCTCTTCCCGAATGCTTTGTTTCTCAGTACAGTGGTTATGTCGCTTTCTGCCATTGAAGTACATTTTGAAATTTCTAGTTTTAATTACTATTAAAGCTAAAATGACTTTACAATAAATTCTAAAAATCAAAAAGTTATGAGGCATCATCAGAATCATATTTCCATGGTAAAACAAAAAGAAACAAAGGAGGAAGAACAACTATTTAGACTGCAGTATTTAAAAACACACCATCTTTTTTCTAAAACTAGTTCCTAGCACGCACTGTGAGATGATCTAATCACAAATGTTAACGTGGTAGGTTATGAAATCTTAAAAATTAAGACTGGGAAAAGTATAAGTCATATTTCATGAGTGAAAAAAATCTTACGAAAAAGTCAATAAACTTTTTCTAAGGAACAAGAAAACTGTGGTCCAGAAATGGCAAATTCTGCTTCACAAATTTGTCTGTGAGGACCCTCATATTCTCCTGAACTCAGACTTAGCTTCTGACTGATGTGACACTCTTAAGTCCGTTCACTTAAATTATTCCCCACTCTTCCCTACCCCAAACAAGCACTGCGCAGAAGAGGAGAAACTGTGTGTCTTGGCCTTCTGGGGGGTCCTCACTGGTCTTTATTAGTGTCTGGTGCCAAGTAACTAGCACATTCAAACCATTACTGAAACGTAAGGCATGTGGGTTCCTTTAGTCTGACTGACTTCCCTTTCACATTGTTCGTAGTTGCACTAACACCGCAGGTGGAAGAGTTTACTCTGTGGACCAAACGCAGTTGTGCTCCACCCAATTGACCTCGTCCGGGTGTGTCCCGGAGAGGACACGCTGCTCAGCTGTCAAGTCTTTGTTTAAACAGACAGGGGAACTTAACCCTTTCCTAATATTAAATTTAAAAACACTCTAAACACCTGTGGCACTTTTAACATATGTGTCTCTATTTCAGGTTATCAAGAAGAAAAAGTAGTAATTTATATTTAGCAGCTCATACACAGGAAGATGGACATATAAGTAACTCTAGTATAAGTGGTTAATGGGAGATAGCAGCTCTTAAATTCAGGTATTTTCAAAACTTCTTTTACGTTATTGTTGCTAAAGCAGAAATCAGAACTAACTGGTTATAACTGAATCACTTCCTGAGATATCTGAGGACCGCACATTCAACAACACAATCAGACCCAGCATAAAGAGACCCAAGAGACAGGCTGGTTCAATCGTGACTCTATAAAATGGGGGATCTGAGGCCCAGGGAGGTTAACTGACTTGTTCAAAATCAGACCGCTAGTTTGTAGCCGAACTGGGACGAACTAGCCCCTAGTCTCCTGGCTCCCAGGTCTGTTTTTAACACTGTACTACAGTAGGCTCTATCTTATCTCCGATAACAAGCCAAGAGCATGTATCTTCTCAGTTCCCCACCTCTATTACTTCTTCCCTTTCAGTTACACATGCTCTAGAAAGGACAGTAAGGTGGCCTGAGTTAATTTTGGAAATAATGTATAAGAGAAGGAAGATAGCAAAGTAAGCCCGGACTCGAGGGAGGCCTATGAGAACTGAGGCCAGAACAGATTGAGGGGGACCTAATCAGGTGGACCTGATCAGGTAGATTCACAGCAGGAATCAGGTTGGAAGTACACCTGTATGGTCACCATAGTGTCAAGAGAGATCAGAGGGGCCATGACGGACTCTTTTGAGTCCAGTATGAAACAGTCTATGATGCAGAGGAAGCCAGCTAGTATTGGGTGGTGAGGGGGGGAGTGGTACGGAGACAAGGAATCTCAGAAAAGCAGGTAAGTAGAATGGCTGAGGCATGTTAACAGTAGAGAGAGAGAGAGAGAAAGTGAATCCATGAGTCGGCTTTTGGGTTCTGAGAGATCCCCATCTCCCTTACTGACAGTTAAGGAACAGGGTCCCTCACCTACTGCTTTGTGTGAGTTTAAGTTCCCCGTTGCCCCAACGCCCACCTAAACCAGACCAAAACAGCCCACCGTCACAGCTCCTCAGAGTGCCAGAGTCCTACCGTGATGATGACACCCCACTGGAGACAGGATGCTCTCTGATGTCAGACCTGTACTCCAACAGCAGCCCTTCACTTACCAGCCATGCTACTTTGAGTAAGTTCTTAATTTTCCAAGTATGTTTCCTTAACACTAACATCTATGGATTCATTTGATCATCTATTAAGGGTAAGTACATGCAAGTCTACTGACTTAATGTTAATTATTCTCACTACCTGCGAGGAAATTATACATAGATCCTCTAAAGAGTTTAAAATCTGGTCTATACATAACAATTTTGGGGCAAATCCCTGATTTGCAAGCCAAGTGTCTAAAATTCCTTAAATCTTGAAGAGTTTAAAAGCCATAACAAGAAACATAAAACAGGAAGACTCAGGCAAAATTCTCCCCTTAGGAATACTAAAGACACTTGCCTCATAACACAGATACACAGAAAAGAGTACTATGAAAAAATTGTACGTTATCATCGCTTTCTTGAGTTCAAAGGGCTTTCGATTTTCCATGAGCTTTGGTCCCAGGGAAGTGACAAAATAGACATAGAGTCCCAAGATGATGGTTTGTGGCAGAGGCGAGGACATGAGGAGCCAGTCTTCAACTCTTGGATCTAAGAGAAAAACAAGACATAAGTGCACATCCACTTAGCCAGGAGATACTGACAGCAGCCAGCATTTCTTGAAGCGAGCACCTGGACCTCAACATTGATAGTGGGCTGGCTGGGCAATTATTACTAGTATCTTCGGGAAGGGTAAAGGGAAATCCTCAGGGATAGTGTTGGGGTTAGAAACTGAGGCTGTTAGCACTCTAGGCATCTAAGGGCAAAGAGAGGTAGTGGTTTCCAGCAGGCAGGAGAGAGTCATATGAAGAAACCCTTTGGACAGGAGCTGTGACCTTCAGTTGAGGGATTCAGCCAGCACAAGGCAATTCTGCAAGTAAGGGGTCAGGGGAACTGATACTCCAACACTGCACTCCTCCTTCTCTCCAGTCCTAGGGCCTCCACTAGGTGAACCCAGCCGAAAACCAAAGGGCAAGGGAGCAAGCCCATGATACAATCCATACTGGTCACCCCCCAGGGCCCAGCACAGCATGCAGAGTGAAACGGAAGACGAGATACTCAGCAAGGTCCTACCAACCCATCTGTAACCACCAGTCACATTTTAGAATTCCTCCATCCAGACAGTCTTCTATAGACAAAAATGGTTGTGTTTTCTGTTTTCTAATGTTCTTCTTTCCCCAAGAAAACTGGGAAATTTCCAATTATATCAGAATCATAAAATGTAAAGCAACCTTAGCATCTAAGTATCTAAAGTGTGGGTTTTAAGAGTCCAAATCGGATATTCTGAGCAAAAAAAAAAAGCAAGAGCCTTACAACTGTGTAAAAAGAAATCCACCTGATCACTGCTAGTTCCAGGCCAAGAAAGTTAGATGAATTGAAAACTGCCACTCAAAATGAAATGTGATTATCTACATAATCTTAAGTAGTTTGGGGGTAATTTTACTAAATTACCTCAGGAAGCTGGAGCATTACAATAAAATAAGTATGGATAAGTTTTTATGTGCATCTGACTCAACTGAGTGCATCCTGACCAACCTTAGTTTGCTAAATACCGTAGCTTTTATCTGTAGGCAAAGAGAGCTGGGGGAATTACAACCCTTGCTCATTTAAACTGCTAATGATGTAGCCAATTACTGCAAAACTTTGAATACCCTTAAAGTCTGACTTCCTACCCAAATAGAAACTCAATAAAAGTCTGCTGACATTCATAAACACACAAGTTGTCCAAATTAAAAATATTTTAAAATTAAGGCAGTCACACTTTAAATTGGGAAAAGCTTTGAAATCAGCTATCCAAGAACATGTCACTGAAGTCTTTTATTGCTTCTATTAGCTTCCTTCCTTCACAAGTTTCCCGGGACATCTGTGTGCCATGTGATATTAAGAAGGTCACGAGGGCCCTGGACGGGAAGCTCAGTTGATTACAGCGTCATCTAGAGCCGCCAAGGTTTCAGGTTTGATCCCTGGACAGGGCACATAAAGGGAACAACCAATGAATGCACAAATAAGTGCACCAACAAAGTGATGTACTTCTCTCTCTCTCAAATCAATTAAGGGGGAAGAAAAGGACCACAGGGACCCCTAGCCACAGGTCCATACCTCACCAGGGAAGTCTCACTAAATAAAAGTTGTCACACAACTGGGGACCACGGAACAGAATTCAAACTGATCAAACTTTAATGCATTTCTTCTGTCAGTGAGTAATCCAAATTTTAAATACAAAATATCACGAGTATTATTAATATGGCTAGCTTTTACCTCCAATGAAATAAGAACTTAAATCTAGTACCAAAAAATGACCTATGTATGCAAGGATGTTAATTAATTTTATCACCTTTGGATGGTGGCAGTACAAATGGTTTTTTTTCTAGATGCTTCTGTTATTAAAAGATATCACATGTATGACTGAAAACTAGTTGGTCTATTGTATCAGGAAAGGAATTCCTGAATTAAAGATATATTTTATTTTACTCTGTCATGGACTCAGCAGGGGGGAGAAAGTCCAATGACATCATCTCTCTGTTATTCCACTGGTAACAGCACAAACAAAACGAGTCAGGAAAAGCATGCTGGGCTGGCTCAGGAAACAGAAGAAAACAATCTTAAAATAAATAACGTTCTCCTACAATTTAACATTTTAAGCATACACCTTTTGAAATACCCTGTGAGTGACTTCCAAATTCTACAGATTTTTAAAAATCATTATATCTTCAGGGAAAAGCTAGTTAATCTGATTTCTTGTTATTTTAAAGCAAATAGTAAAACAAAACACTAAACTTTTAAATCCTCTTTCAAGGAAGCTCTGGAGTTTTGATTCTGACTCCCTGACTCGTTATGTGCCTTGGGGCCACTGATTTAGTCTTTCAGTTTAATTTCCTCATCTGCGACCTGGGTGTAAAACAGCACGTACTGCAGGGGTAGTGTGAGGGACTGGGTGGAAAAGATGAGGGGGTTGAGAAGTACAAATTGGTAAAGCACAGCGTAGGGAGGGAACTTGGTCGTTATTGTCATAACTGTGTGTGGTGCCAGGTGGGTACTGAACACAGCAAGGGGGAACACTTTGTAAAGTACATGAATGACAAACCACTACACTGTGCACCTGAAACTAATACAAAATGATGCTGAATGCAAAAGTAACTGAAAAATAAAACAAAATAAAACAAAACAAAACAGCATGTGTCTCACAGAGGATTTATGGGTTCCTGCATGTAAAGAGGCCAGCACAGCCTAAGTGCTGAGTAAGTGTTGCTCCTATTATGTCAGCAGGTGTCCATTCTGTCAGCACAGCAGGATCACCTCTGGAGAGTTTAAAAGTCAAGTGGCCAAAAAAATGACCCTGGTCCAACTGAATCAGAATCCTAGGGTCCTAGAATATAGATTGCAGGCATCCATATTTTGAAGAAAAAAAAACCACCCAGGTGACCATGACACCTGTTAGAAATGAGAACCAGAGGTTTGGCGAGCTACTTTCTCATACACCGAGGGCCCCGGATTCCCTCACCAGTCAGGTGCCCTGCAACAGTCTTTCACGTGGCTTCTCTGCCTCCTGATCCAATCGGCTACATCAGATCTTCCACACAAATGCCAAATTCCTAAAAGTAAGCTCTGCTCAGATGATTCCTCTGCTTCAATGAGCTCTCTCTACCGAGCAGATAAAATTCAAAGTCTTTAAATACTTCCCATGCGAGGTAGTGGGCTTCCCATGATGAAAAGTTTACAAGTCAGGTGTGGGCAGTGACTTGGTGGGGGCAGTGGTAGAAGGAGGCTGCTCATTTGAAGTTCATCCTGATTCATTCTACGATTTCACAAATTACACAAGGTTCACAGGTGAGGTGAGCTCTGCTTCCCCCAGAGCCATAGGACTGAGGATGCATGCATCTTCTATTTGGCATTAGAGTTGGGTTTAAGTGTCATGAGCAAAGCCGAGATGAAAGCAGAGGATGCAAAGAAGGCAGGCTGTCTGAGAGTCCACACCCCATTGACTACCCAAGTTCTGATTTACTAGACTAATCCTTCTTAAGTGTGTCCCAGAGAGAGTACAGGGGAAGCACAAGTGCCACATGCATAGAGTATTAATGAACTTGTCCATCAACAACTTGTAAGGCAGTGTTCTGTTCTCAAGTAGCATGTACTACCTCAGAAAGTGCACCCTTTACAATTTCAAGCACCAGCAAGAAGAAGTTGGAAGAAGAAGCAAGCTTGTACCTCAGTACTTGAAGTACTCAAGGTTCAGAATGGCAGCACTCTTACTGAAGATCCCATCTTCTTGCAAAAAGATCCCAGCTAAGTCTGAAAAGTTATTACCATCCAAATACAAGGAAAGTTGCTTTTTAAACATTAAAAAACATTATATCATTATTTCAAAATTTGGCACTTCATATCTAAGAGTCATAATAAATCCTCTTATAGCTTAAGTATTAATCCATTTTTAATTCTGTAGCTATGGAATTTTCCACATGAAATAACTATGCATGATCACAACTTCTGTAACAATCAGAAAACCGAAGAACACCAGTAAGTTTCCTGAAGGCGACTCTAGATTAGGGCCAAAGCCAAGAATACACTAGAAATTCTTGGCCCTTGATCAGGTGCTCAGAACTTCCTAGGATAAACAAAGTAAAACTGAACCCAGATGGCCAGAAACAATTCCTAATAGCTTTCAGAGATCAATACCTCACTAAGCAGAAGCAAAAACCCTCTTCTCTCTTACTTAAAATTGTCCTTACAAAAATGTAAATCCCAACACAGGGGAAAAATGTGAAGACACTTTTTTAAAAGGTGATATGCTACACTGAAAGTATTTTAAGATGAAAATGCTCTATCAGTCATGTGGAACCACCACTCCCGTTTGTGTTGGGAAAGTTCCCAAATGATAGAGCACTTTCATGTATATTATCTGGTAGCTGGTAGGTAGCATTCTCATCTCTGTTTTTACTAACAAAGAAACAGACTCACAGACAATATACATCACTGGTTCAAGATCATGTAGCTAGTACATAGTACTGTCAGAACTTACATTTAGGTTTTCGCATTACATTTTCCATACCCACCCTCCTCTTTCAAGACTTCACATTAGCCTAACATCAGTTGGAAGCACTGCTTGCCTGTTCCTCGTGTCCTTCCTGCTCTGCCTGCTGCACTGTTTCCAGGGATCTCCTTGTCTCTCCACGCCCCCCCCAACCCTTGGTCATTCCCTTTCTGACCTAATACTATTCAGCTTTTCCCATCCAAGTACTAACCAGGCCCGACCCTGCTTAGCTTCCGAGATCAGACGAGATCGGGCGCATTCAGGGTGGTATGGCCGTAGACCTATTCAGCTTTTCAATGTAAGCATTCCTAATAAAAAGTAAAGAGTTGATCCACGGATACAAGTAGAAGTGGAAATCAGATGTGGTGCATTTTTAAATATTTTATACTTCTAGCACTATACAAATATTCATCATCATTTAAATCGATTTGGCTCTTGATTTAGCCTATTGATTATCTGAATCTCTTGACTTCCTGCATTTGAAATAGTGAATAGCAAGGGATGTTCTTCCAAACAGGTGTATTTCAAAAAATGTACCCAAAACTACTTCATTCCCAAGTTCAAATCACAAGAATTCAGGTAGCAAGGCACACCTCTATTTGGAAAAGCAATGAAATAATTAACATTTAAAAAATAAATGAATAAAAATAAAAACTTTTAGAAGAAAATTAAATTCAGTGTTTAAATTACTGAATTTATAAGAACAAACTACTATAAATTTTCAAAGAACAACCTCTAAAGAAATCTGTATGTCCTCTACATCATTACCTAAGCTGAAAAACCTTAAAAAAAAAAAAAAAAGAAAAGAAAGACAAATTTGAAAATAATCACTCTTTATTTCCCTCCCAGTGAGGCACCTTTATTTATGGTATCTATTTTAGATCCTTGGCACTCTTCAGAGGTAAAACTGTACCTCTGAAAACATGAAAAAGGTCGGGACCATTTTTAGTGAAATAAAATTGGTCTTTAGCAGTCTACTGAAAATGATGACAGCATGAAACAGTGCATCGTGGCTGAAATGAATGTTAACTGGAACATAATGCCCATTTTGGTAGGTCCCAAGAGGTGGCACTTTTCCCCCTGAATATGGTGAGCAGGCAATTTCTGGTTGACAGGCAAGGACTAACCTGAGGTGGTGATGGCAGTGGAACACGTGTAAGATAATTCACATGCGAAACCCCGGCATACTAATCCTAATCAGAAAACATAGTTCTAGCTGTTTCCGCCGACAATTAACCGTGATGTTGGCAAGGCCACCTCTCCAGGCCTCGGTTTTTTCCACTCTAAAATGAGGAGTTAGCTTTGATGGTATCTAGGTCCATCTCAGCTCTAAAATTCTTGATTGTCTATTTTTAAAAATTTACCTTTGTTATGTTTTTGGAACGTTTTGTAATAGTTATAAAAGTAATACACATTTAGTAGTTTAAGGAAATCTATGTAGATGGAGATAAGTAAATAAGAACTACCATACAGAGATAACTGTAACCCCCACACAAAAATACATGTGGTGTGGTATAACCTGATTTCATTTAACATATCTTTAAACTTCTTGCTGTGGGGCTAAATGTTTTTTGTAACTTTTTTTTTAATGGGCAAGAAGAGAAAGCAGGCATTTCAGAAGTAGTTAGTGGTCACCCTAGGAAACACTCCCTGCCCATTCTGATGCAACCCTGGGGCAGGGGTGGGGATGCAGCCGTTACCATTCTAGAACCATCCTGAACAGAGCCATTGGTGGTGATAACTGTTATCTCCCCCAAGAGAAGCATTAGGGCAAAACAAGCCTAAGAGCAATGTGCCTCTGAAATCACTTGTAATGGTTACTCGGTTGGAATATACCATCATTTACTAACTGATTCTCTTCCCTCAATATTAAAACTATTTTCACTGTTGTAAACATCACAATGGACATCTGTATAGCTCTATCATTGCACATATCTGTAATGAAACCCCTGACACTTTTTCTTTACTAATTAGTAATGAAAATAATATTTTGTGTATCTTTGAGGGAGTCTTAAGCTGCACAGTCTGTCATTCTGTTTCAGTGAAATCCTATTCAACATGCAAATCTGTCATGAAAGGAAGGAAGAGCCTCAATTAGGACACATGGTTACTTACCAGCATGCTTGAGCCAATTACCATAAAGACGCACTGTCCTTGAAGTAAGATCGCTGAAGGCCATTTTCCACTGGATTTACTGGCTCTTACAATAGGTTCTTCAGTAAAATAAAAAAAAAAGAAATGCATTATGATCTATGAATGCAAATAAAGCCAAGTTTCTAGTAATACAATATTAAAAATGCTAAAAATTTAATAGGAACAACTGGCAAACCAACAAACTTTTACTGAGGGTAAATGCATTAGTGAACCACACTGAACCCTGATGGAGTTGCAAACATCTAAGATTTTTTTCACCATTGTAAAAACAATGCTTACTCTGCTGAAAAAGACTAACATTTGGTGTACAAGTTACAAAAGGAATAAATGATGGTAAGAACTTTCATGGCAGCATCTTCCTTTTATGTGACAATGGAAATCAGGAATGGCTGAACCTCCCACAGAAATGCTGAAGTAAAAACCCAGGAGAGGAAAGTCTGGAAGATACGTAAACTTTCAGAGAAGCTACTCTGATCCAGACTCCTAGCCGATCTTCAGGCACAAGCAGAAGGTCTTCCATATGTAAGTTTTTACAATTTCAGAGGACTAGAGGTAGAAAAAGGGAGGGAAAGAAGATTTACAAGAGCAAAGAAGAAGCTGCCTAACTGTTTATCTGAACAGATAGATAACAAGAGTTGGAGAAAGACCACTGTGGAAAAACTAGCTGCATCATACATTAAAATGTACTTTAAATCTTCAATAATAAAAACAGTGTGACACTGGCTCATGAAGAGACAAACCAATGAAATACAGCAAAATAGCAAGACACAGACCAAATACATTTGAGGATTTAGAACTGCATTCTGCACATTCTAAGATGTGCACTTTCCCACATTTTACCATTTATGAAATCAGCACACACCTTCCCGGTGGACAGTGTATTACAAAATGAATAGTACATCTGATTCCAAGTCATATGGTGGGAAGATGAAAAAGTTCTGGAGATAGATGGTGGAGATAACTGCACAGGAATGCAAATGTACTTAATGCTGCTGAACTTCATTCCTCAAAAATGGGTAAAATGGTACATTTTACCTTATGTTTTACTGCAATAAAAAAGGAAATTTCTAGATCTACAACAGCAAAATCAAGTCTTTCTTCTAGCACTCCAAAATAAAACCACGTTAACATTTCATATGCATGTGCACATACACATGCATATGGTATTGATGAAGGTGGCATCTCACACCAGTGGGCACTGAATTACCACTATTTAACACGTGGTGTGGTACACCTGGACAGCCATCTGAAAAAAAGTTGGATCCAAACATTTTACTACAAAGCAAAATAAACACCAGGTAGGTAAAAAAATTAAATAGGAAAAATAGAACCATAAAAGTACTGGATGACAACATGGGAGAACAAAACCTTGGAGCAGAAAAGGCCTTTGACTTATGCTTATGTTCTCTTCCTAGACATAAGACTAATAAGTTTAATCATATGAACAGCAAGAAGAAAAAAGCCAAATGACAAACAGGAAAAAAATATGTTCAATTTATATCACAGACAAATGCTATTCTTCCTAATATATAAAGAGTTCCTAGAAATTGATAAGACCTGTAGGCCAAGAGGAAATGAACAAATTTCCATAGAAAAGGAAATACAAATGGCTCTCAAAACATATAAAAAGTTTCTTAATTTTAATCATAGGAAGAAACCTACAACATTTTATTGAATTGGATGGGCCAAAGTCCAAACACTTTCATCAGATGGGCCCAAATCCAAAAATGTGTTAACTCTCTAATAACCTGCTACAATGCTGCTGGGAGTGCAAATTAGTACAACCCTTAGTGAGGGTAATTTAGCATTACCAGTAAAAGCTATAAATGCATCCTTTTCAACCCAGCAATCCTACTTCTAGAAACTTATACATGTACTCTCACACATGCACATATGCAGGATGACATACAATAAAGGTCCTTCACTGCATCGGTTAGTGAGAACAAAAGTCTGGAAACAAGCCAAATGTCTATTAAAACTGGTTAGTAAATGCTAATACAACTAATACCATGAAAGAGTATGCCATTGTGAAAAAGAATGAGGAAGCTGTCTATGTGCTGATAGGGAAAGGTATCCAGGATAAATCTCTATGCGAAAAGCAAAGGAAGATACAGAATTTTTAAATGACTACATTTTATATAGAAAAGAGGAAAGAAGAGTATAAGTTTATATCTATTTATATTAGCATAAAAGGAATTCTGAAAAGACATCCAGGAGAAAGAGAATGGGGTACCAACTGGGCTGAAGCGGTGGAAGGAGGACCTATTGTCTGGTTTTTGATTCATGTAAATATATTATTACATACCCCAAAATAAAGAATTAAAATATTTTAAAGGAAAAAATATAAGAATAAAATTAGTCGCCCCTCTGCTGGGACAATTCTTACTTAAAAACCCATGTGAAAACGTGCATATACACTAAAGAGGAACTGTTATCTCAATTCCTCAAGGGTCTGCCTGCTCCAGAACATCTCCCCAGGTCCAGGAAGGCATCTCAGCATGCTCTCTGCTTTGGTACATCCTGTATCCTCAAGCTGAGCTCGCTCAAGATGTGGTGATGTCAGGGTTTTGCCGGAGTCCGCTTGGACTCTTGTTTCCATACAGACGTTACCACAGCAAAGGTGTGAGGTAGGGTTAGGCACAGGGGCTGTGAGGTCACGAAGACCTGGGTTTGAGCCCCACCATTTAATAGCTGTGTGACCCATGGCAAAATGAAAGCTCAATTTCCTACTCTGTACAACAGGATCCTATAACTTACCAAGATAAAATACACCCATTCACAGAGTTGTTTTGAGAACCAAATATTTGTAAAGTTTAGAGCACAGAATCTGATAAAGAATGGTGATTCAAAGTCAGACATTATCATTTTGTAGAGACAGGTTGTACCAATTTAATTGGAAAACATCTGGCCAGACTCATTACCTTGTACAGTTGATTGACAGTTTATAGAACAAATCTAGAGAAAATTGTACTACTTTCATTTTAGAAACCTGTATGTGTGCCACTGATTATATACATCATTGTTCCCTTGATGCTTTCCAATTGTCTTAAAGCGACTGTTTCCTCCCCCTCACCTTAACCACTGAGATGACATGCCTCAAGCCATTATTTTCATAATTAAACTGCCAAAAGAATGCTGTTTAAATTAATCACAATCAGACTGAAAGATTCTCAATCTATATGGCATGTGGTTGGGTTACATTTCAAAGTATTATTCTGTTTTCTGTGCAATTCCTACCTCCTCTTTTTTTTTCACTCATTCTACCATTTTCCTCTCCCTGGCCCTTATTGAAGCACAGAGACTCCAAGAAGCCTGTCTAACACAGGTGAGAAATATTCATGGGCAGTAAAATATTCATGGGCAGTGAACACAGTGGTCTCTCTAACCCCAAAGATTACACAAGGCTGAAATGGAGGAAGAGAAAACGGTAGTCAGACAAGCAACTCACGCTGCACAGGATGGAGCGGCAGAAACAGGCAGCCTCTGAGCAGGAGGGGACTGGAGGGGTAGGGGAGGACCCATTAACCCAAGCGTTCTGGAGCGGAGCCAATATAGTATGACCCCTGGACAACAGCCAGGCATACCCCCGCCAACCTTCTACCATGATTATACATGGACACTTGATCGCTAGACAATGGTACATAGAGATGGGAATAAACTTATTCTATGTGGTCAAGATACAGAGCTATCTTCTAGCTGACAGCAGCACTGAGACCATAACAACCTATTTAAAATACTCAGTGGCACACAGTTCAGGGCTGGAGATGCCAGAAACATCAGGTCTCTCATGTATGTGAAGCAGAGACTTAAAATTCAAAATCAGTAAATAAGACATGCCCATTAAGGGTGGAAGAGGCAAGGGAGGTGCTGCAGCAGGAGAGAAAGAAGCTCCCGGTCAGAGCTGGTCTGCCTCAAAAACATCAGGGCAGGGTTAGAGTGAACGGGAGTTTGTTGACAGGGGAGTGAGCCAAGTTCCCCAGCTTTTGCAACTGACTCATGAATTTTGCTCCTTATTTTTGACAGTATCACATGGTGACTGGGTCATTTGGTAAAGAAGAGACTTAATCTGCCCAGACTAGCTTCTTGGGCCTACATTAAAGATGTCAAGTTCAAATGTGAGAAATATGCTTGCTGCCTACAGAAGGCCCTTTCCACAAGACAGCTTACCTGGAGACAATTCAAAGCCACAAGCTGAAGTCAGTACAATTTAGACACTAACACAAGGATGCAGAGCGTGTGCTTCAGGTACCTGATCTCTTTGCCTCTTTTGTTCCAATTTATTTTAACAGTAACCACAGGCAGAACTCATCTGAGAGAACTCGCTGGAATTCACTTAGATGGGGATGAGACCTTGGTACGAAGCACCTAGCAGGAGTACTAAAGCCTAAAACCATGGCCAACCATTTCTAGGTGGACCTCACTTGCAGATCTCTCCAAACCCTGCAAAATGTGTTGGGGACACTCTCTTGAGGGAATGCAGTGGTACAGCCAGCACGTGGCTTTCCTAGGGCATGTCCAGAAACAGGATCACATTGTTTCCCCTTTCTCTTTTGGTGTTTGGGAGGTTCTGGATTCTACCCATTGATTTCTGCTTTGGAAAACAGACACCAGGGGCAAACCTTCAAGAGCTGATCTGTTTAGCCACAGACGATGCTCGGGGATACATAAACCAAAATGAGCTACAGGAAGGCACCAGCACAGGGACATCCGTGATGGAACTGGGGACATTTTCTGTTGAAAAGGCAATTCTAGCCTCATATTTTGGGCTGTGGTTTGAAACTTTACCTTTTTTCAAAGTAAGGGAGAAGGAGGATACAGGAATTTCAAGCTATCCCACAAAAACAACAATTGCTCATTGGAGAACTGATAGGTGAAACAGACCTTCAAAGCAGATGGTTTGGCCGGGAGAGTAGGGCCAGCTCAGAGAGCAACAGGAAAAGGCAGCGCACCTGACTAGTTGGAAAGGTACAGGGGAGCTCAGCGCTGAATCAGAACAGGTGATGGGCACTCAGCCTGCCTGACGGTGAAAGGACTTCCCAGGTAAAGGTATCACAGACAACCTCTCTCTGGGTTATGTTTCCAGAAAACCAGAGTTCAGATACAATCTCTGCTCCTGCCATCTTGGGGAAGAAAAACTCTGAGATAAATATAACTCTCACTAAGAATTCAAAGATTGCTAGGGAAAATTCCACCTCGATATTTATCCATGCATTTCCTGTGTATTCCTGTGCCTGGCAGTTTTCTCACTGGAACCTGCTGTCCCCTGCCACCCCATGCCCTCTGTAGTTAAACAGAAACAGCCCCAACGAGGTTATGACCTTGAGCACTGGACAGAAAGATCTGTATACTTGTGTTTGTTCTGAGCCATTGATTTAGGAGTACTGAGACTGGGGAAAGGACACCAGAAACTTTTAAGTGTATTCAATTGTGGAAAATAACTATAAAGTAATAATTTATTTGTTTAAAACAGCATTTCTCAACCTCGGCTGTATTCACGTTTTGGGCCAGACAATTCATGGTTGTGAGGAGTTGTCCTGAGTGTTGAAGGCTGTTTAGCACTGACCCTGGCCTCGACCCACTGGACGCCAGGAACACCCCCGCCCCAGGTGAGACAACCAAAGAGCTTTCTAGAAATTGGCAAATGTCCCCATGGGAGGCAAGCAAAGTCATTCCCAGTTGAGAACCACTGGTTTAAAGTAAACTGCCAACATTTATTTGACCAAATCAGAGTAGTTTCATTCACAGTAATTACTTTGGCAATTACAGCGGTCCCTCCTCATCCATGGGGCTTATGTTCTGAGACCCCCAGTGGACGACTAAAACCACAGACAGCACCAAACCCTGTGGGTACTATGTTTTTTCCTATACATACATACCTAATGACAAAGTTTAATTTAGAAATTATGTACAGTAAGCAGTTAACAACTAATAATAAAATAGAACACACGAGTGTACTGAAATAAAAAATCTGTGAATGTGGTCTCTCTTTCTCTGAAAACATCTACCCACACTACACTCACCCTTCTTCCTGTGATGCTATGAGATGACACAGTGAGATGAGATCCCACAGTGCCTGCGTGAAATAGACTCAGTGAAAATTTATTTCAAATGACACATTTTTCAGTTTTGTTAATTCCTTTGTGTTCATGTTCCATCATTTTAACCACATGTAATTGTTTTCCTTTGGTTCACTGTCTGTTTTAGGAAGACTGGAGAGGACGAGCAATTGAATGCGGAGAAAACGGACCTAATGTTCCTTGTTCTTGGAGCAGAGTTGGGGGAGGGTCATCCAAAGATTTGAGCTCTCAGAGCTGCACACTGCCTGACAGTATGGCAGTCTTTCGGAGATGGCAGTCACACTCACACTCACACACTCACACACTGCAGAAGCAAAAATACAGGTTCATTACAACTGCCATACAGGGCTCTGTGTTATTTTCAGGTTTCTCATGTGTGTGTGTGTATACGTGTGTGTTTCTCCCTGGGATTTCTTTTCTCCCCCCCTCACACACACACACTTGGCCACTTCAATTTCATAGCTAGGTTGTGCAAACTGCCTTGCGAATGAAACAGACAGCGGAAGGCAGAGAAACAGAAAGCTTTATCCCAGCTTTTGAGTTACAAAGTTTAGGCATTTAACCACACAGAAGACCTCAAGAACAAAGACCAGAGACTCCGGAGGAAACCGCTGAGGTTTCCATGCCTCCCAGCACAGAAGAGCACACTTCAGGCTTTAGGGCTGGTTGTCAAAGGGAAGCAATGAGTGCAAGAGGGCAACAGCCCTGGCGAGGTGCCCAGGAGGAGTATGGGAACAGAGAGCAGGCGAGGTCAGGCTCTGTTGCTTGGGTAGAGCTGAACGGGTGGCTGATGGGGCCTTAGGCAGCCAGAGAATTTCTCCTTCTCCATTGTGAAGCAAAAGCAGCACAGACTTCCAAGTACCTCCACTGGGAAGTACTGCAGAAGAGCTACAGAAAATGGAGTCCTGAAGCCAGCGGGACCCTGCAGCCAGTGGGTCCCACAGACCCGCATGGACAAGTGGTCAAAAACCCAATGGGAACCTCGGCATCTCAGAGGATGGTAATGTTGACAGAGGACTAAAAGGACTCTTCCTCCCAACTAAGTTTTTCTAAATTGCTGAGAGGTCTGATCATATTTAGAATCGACTGAAATAAGTTCCTAACACCTCAAAAAATAAAGAAACCTATATTAAATATGAAGCTGTAAAGAAATTTTGTTTTCACATGGCTGACTTTGTCAGATGAGGTTTGACACCCTTTACTTTAGATATGCGATCAGGTCAGTACGATTTTTCTGTCTTCTGTGTCCCTATTACAACAGTGGTTGCCACACTTGGGGAGAGATTTGGGTGTAATTAACATGTCTGGGGACAGTCTCATGTGGGCCGAGTTTGGGAATCTCTTCTCGATAATGCATAAACCATTCTTGGACATGACAACACACACAGTATCAGGATAGGCAGAAAAATCGGGACAAAAGATTCAGTTAACGAACGTCACCTGGAAAAGATAAGGCAACTGGGTCAAAAAGGGCAGGCACAGGAACAGGAAGTGCAATGAACATTGGAGAAGATTTCCCCAATGATTCAACACAACTCACAAAAGGTGTGAAATCTGCAAGCAGATATTTGAGTCAGCATGTATACCCAGGATATAAGGAAACTAACTTCCTATTTTGAGGATGAAATAAGCTAGACGTTCTCAAGTATCCGTAAAAGAGAAAATCATTGCTGTACCTTAGGTCTTAGTAAGTTAGAGGAAACTAGAATATAAGCCTTGTGTTCTAGGCAAACAAAATTATCAACACAAATCTCATCAACTAAAGATACCAAACACCTAACTTTCTACTTTTCCAATGGGAATGTGATTGATTTATCAGTGAAGATGTTTTCATCTGTAAGTATCAGAACACTCAACTCAAAATGGCTTCAGCATTAAGGAGTGGCATTATTTCACAGAAAAAGGAGTTGAAAGGTAGGAAGATTTCTTCTAAGTTTGTTAATATCTGTTTTGATATAAGATGGTGGCAATCATTCCAAAATGTCACATTTTCATACTCCTTCATCCAGAACACTGAAATGGTCTTGTATCTTTTTTCAGGAGCTTGAAAACCCTCCCCAGTGCTTCCCCGAAGCCACTCAAATTCCCCTCCCAGAACTGTGTCACATGCCAGTATCTACACCAAGCCCAGAAAAAGAATTGGGACCGCACAGCTTCTTTAGGGTGGCCGGTACTGTGTTCACTACCAGGTCCCCTCAGTCACATGGGGAAGCACACAGCTTCAGGGAGGAAGGAGTAGCCTGGAATAAGGGAGAAGAGTCATTACCCCACAAGAGAAAAGGGAAATGATCTCCGAGAACCAATGTCGGCTGTAACTGTGACTTGAAGGGATTACTCTGCAGTGATAGTTCAAACATGAAATGACATTCAGGCTGAGTCTATCCATCTTAGATGCACTCTGCTCATCCTGGTGATAAGGGCACAGAATAAACTGATCTTAATGGGTTTTTTTTTAAGATTTTATTTACTTATCTTTAGAGGAGAAGGGGACGAGAGAGGGAGAGAAATATCAATGTATGTTTGCCTCTCGTGCATCCCCTGCTGGGAACTAGCCTGCAACTCAGGCATGTGCCCTGACTGGGAATCGAACCACAGTTGTTTGGTTTGCAGGCCCGTGTTCAATCCACTGAGCTACACCAGCCAGTGCTGATCTTGATGTTTTTTTTTAAACAAAATGTGATCAATGAGTTAAACATGCTGTGCAGTACCACATAAGACTTTCTAGTGACTTTTACATACCTGCTGTTTAGAATTATCTTATACTACAGTCTCTTTGATGATATAGATAATACATGATAAATACATAAACACAGACAGCATAGGGTTGAACTCTCACGTGTAATTGTTGCTATATATATCACTTCCACAAACTTATGTGGTTCCAACCGGTATATCTCAGGCTTAAATACAATGGATGTCTCCCACCCTCAACAACATTGACATCATAGTACACATCAAAGCTTTCTCTGCAGAAATAAACTCAGGCTTGCCCTTCAATGAGCTTTAAGAGTTGTAACTTCCATGTCAAGCAGGACCTCAAAACAAATGCCTTTATCATCTTCTCCATTCCTTACCATTATTTCATCTTAATTTTCACTTCTTCATTTTCCCTTAATACAGGGACCTATTAAAATTAAATACCTCTAGAAAATATAACACTATATATGCATGACCCTCCACACTAGTCCAGATTACATTCCTATTTGGTTTGAGCTCTGCAGCACAATCATAACTCATGAATTTGAGCAAAGAGGCAGACAAACTTTAGATCAGATGTGCATTTGAGAACCTCAACATGTTAATATGACAACTTATTACAGAGTCCTAGAAACCAATGATACCAGAAACAGTCCCCACTATGAAATACAATTCATGGTGTATATTCAGCAAAATGCTACCTACACTATTTATTGTGCTTAATGTTACTTATGAAGACAGCAGACCTCCCAGGCTAAGTAGGTCAATCAATGCACTTGCCGAGTCTCTGGTCCCCAAACAGTATTCTGTAATTAGAGATGGGGTAAACTTAGAGAAGGGTCAGAGAACTTTCGAGGCAAATAAAGGACCTGCTCAAATCACCAACAGATATAAAACAGTGCTAGGTAGTAAAGGATAGTAGGATAAAGATGGGATCTTGCCCTCAGACAGCTTTGACATGAGGAAAGATTCTAAGAAATGCATTAAGTAAGTCTGAGAAGAGAAAAGCATCTGAAAAACTGTCCAGATCAGATGCCTCGGGAAATATAACATTATACGAGTATATGTATGACCCACCAGACTGACTACAGTGACCACTGGAACCAGTGGGACTTGTTTTTCTGTAGGAAGTGATAAGTACCTCAAGGGCAGTTTAATTCCTATTTGTATCTGTGTCCTTGAGCAAAATAGACACTCAATAATAACCTGCTGAATGAATTTTAAAATGTAAAATCAGAAAAAAAAAGAAGGGCAAGAACAAACACCCCATATCTTAGGCCACCTTCTCTACTTTTGTTCAAGTGAATGCAATACTCCTCTCGTTTATTTTCTCTTCAAACAAAAAGTATTTTCTGAGCATCTGTTATTACGCAAGCAAGTGCTGAGCAGTCCACAATATTATTTTTAAAATATGGTCCCTGAATCCAAACAACTTTCAATCTGGCAGGAAAAATAAACTGCCAAACAGATATCTAAAATGCAAAGCAGAATGTGAGGTCACACAAATGGTTCACACAGAACTCTACAGCCTCTCGAAATGAAGATTCACATCTGGCACATGGCCCGGAAGAAAGGCATAATAAAAGAGAGGATACATGAGCCGAGCTTTGAGAATAAGATGTCAGTAGGCAAAAATATGTGCACCTGGAAAAGGAAAGAGGCATACATCACAGGCAGGGGGACCTCCAGGGGAAATTCATTCATTTGTTTATTCAATGAATATTCTTAAGTGTATGTTATGTGCCAACCACTGTTTTCGGTGCCAGTGAAATAGTAGAAAACGAAACAAAAATCTTGACTCCATAAAATTAGAGAAAAGCTCCTGGTGTGTTCCAGAGTTTTAGTCCATTTTGGTAATGTACAGAGAAGAATAGAAAAATCAAGACAGGAAGGGTAGATTCCAGAGATAGTATTTGATTATGGACAAATCAAAAGCCAGGCTAAAGAATTTTTTGGACTTAGCCCTTGACAATGAAGAATCATTATAGGTTTCTCAAGCAGGGACTGTCTTAATCAAAATGGTGTTTAGAAAGATTAACTGGGTGATAGACTACTGGGCTGGGTGACTGAGGGTGTGGTGTGGAAGTAGGGAGAACAATTACACGCGATTGCATCCTGTTGGGAAGCATCTAATATAAGTATCACTTCCTTTGAGATGTCACCCCTGATTCAATCAGATCGGTCAGTATCGGGTGTTCTCATAGCAATTTGTCTCACCTATGATAGCACTTACTGCATAGCGCTACAGATGCCTGTTTACTAATTGTTACCTTTCCACTCATCAAGAGCAAAGAGCCTAAGCTTCATCATCTTTGTGTTGCCAATGCTAGACTAGTGCCTGGCACATAGCAGAAAATTTTTATGGTATGAGTGAATGATCAAATGTTATGGGTTGAATTCTGTCCTTTCAAAATCAAGATGTTGAAGTACTAACCCCCAGGACCTCAGAATGTGACCTTATTTGGAGAGAGGGTCTTTACAGAGGTGATCAAGTTAAAATGGAGTCATTAGGCTGGGCCCTAATCCGACATGATTGGTGTCCTTTTTAAAAGGGAAAATTTGGAGACAGACATACACAGAAAAAGACACAATAAGAACAGGAAGACCACTATCTACAAACCAAGGAGAAAGGCCTAGAATGGGTCCTCCACTCAGAGCCACTAGAAGGATGCAATCCTGTCTACCTCTTGTTTTTGAATTTCTAGCCTACAGAACTGTGAGATGATAAACTTCTGTTTTTTAAACCATGCAGTTTGTGGTACTCTGTGCCAGCACACAGGCAAACTAAAACCACAAGTGAAAATGCTCCTCTAACTTGAAGAAACATCCAGAATTAGAGCTCAGGATTAAGGTCATCATTAACTCTAAATAACCAGAGGTGATAATATGAGAGCAGTATAAATATATGTGACGAATGATATAGGAGGAAACACCCATGCTTAGGAAACAGAAAGAGAAGCCAGGGACAAGTGTAAAGCAGCCACAGAAAGCTGTAGATTAAAGCTGCCCAGGAGAATCTCCCTCCAAAGATTAAGAAAAATAAAATAAGAAGTCAAAAAATACCCACAAAATTTCTCAGAAGCCACCAAATAAGGAAGGGCCACAGACAGATGTTCAGAAGCTTGGAAAAACTGTGTAGCCCAGGAAACACTCCAAAGCAGCGTGGCATCATCTGTAATGTGGCAAGGTCCTCACCCCGCATGGCCTCTTCCCTGGCTATGCTGTTGATGGAGAAGAATCCTGAGAATTCTGACAAGTTCCCCCACATCTGAAGAGAAGCAAATGGACTAATAATCTCATCTTTCCCTTCTCTAGCGAGGGAATGACCCAATAGGACAGAGTTGGATGATGGAGGCTCCACAATAAACTGGTGAACAAATAAAGATGCTTTAAAGGTGTCCTTTGGGAATGGGATGACGCAGTGAATCTTGGCATATTTAACAACACTTGAGAACACAGCACAAGTACAACCTTCCTTAGCTGCATTCTTCTTTCCTTCATTCTCTTGTCTCAGGGCACAGAAAACAATGTGCACAAACTGAAATAAATCCTCAGCCCTCAAACTTCAGCTCAGGCAGGAAAACAAACTGGGCTTAAAAACACCATTGGCAGGGGACAAGGCACCCATAACAAGTCAGAGCACACTGATGGCCCAATCAGAGGTGACACGTACTCAGAAAATGGGGGGAAAGTGTCTGCAACATTTCACAAATAAATTATGAAAAAGGTAAAGTGAGAACACAGAGTAAACAACTCAAAAAAGAAAAAAAGGTAAAGTAACAAAAGGAAATTTCCCACAAGTGTTTTGAGTTTAAAACATGAATTCATAAAATGATGAAACAAAAAAATGAAATGGAACTGGAAAATGTAGAACCAAGGAAACAAATTGAGTACCAAAACATTATTATAGCACTAATACATAAATAAGAAAAAGCCAGAAACAGAAAAGTTGTAGCTAAACAGTTTATTTCTGATATACAAGGGAGGTTGAAATAATCAGATGAAAATGACAAAGGTTAAAAGAATCGAGAAAAGCTATTAAGGTAAAGATGACCAACTATTGGGATAATTGTTTTTTTTTCTTTTTAACTGATTTTAGAGTGAAAGGAAGGGCAAGAGAGAAAGAAACCTCAGTTGCTTCTCGCATACACCCTGACTGGAAATCAAGCCCACAATCTTTTGTTGTATGAGACAATACTCTAACAAACTGAGCCACCCAGCCAGAACAGAATAATTGGTATTTTTAAACTATAAAATTCAACAAAAGAAAAGCTATTAATATTCAAATATTAAAATTTACTGTTGACTTTGCAGATAGACTGAAAACTAGATTGCAAGAAAATTTATTGTAAAACAACCAATATCAAGGCAAATTCTGCTTAAATTGATGAGCTGAAAAAAAATTTAAATGTTCATATATGCAGAAAAGCAATTAAAGATATCAAAGATCTAAATAAATGGAAAGTTATAACATGTTAATGGATTGAAAGGTTCAATGTTGTTAAGATACCAATTCTCCTCAAATCAACATAATTCCAATCAA